GCAAAAAATAAATCGTTTATCTATCTATCTATCTTATCTATATTTTAAATTTATTATTGTCGTATAAAATAACGTTAATATACTCGTACTGTCACTCACAATAGCCTTCGTACACCCAACAAAGTTAGTGTTTAATGAATGTATTTTAAGATTACATTATTGTAAGTGTTGTTAATAGAAAATATATATACAGCGTTATATTTATTGAGATCAAAGAAAATAAAAAGAAATCAAAGTCGTGAGATATAAATAAAAAAATAACAAAAAATCACTTCACAAAAGTCTTCGTACAAAACCTCAAAGTAGATCGAAACATTCATAAGTTCTTCAATAAACACCAATTCTCCGACTCCACAGGCACCCAAGAGTCCCAAACCATAACTCCACCTACTCTGTGTTTTACTGTTAAAATTATATGTTTCTATTGTAGCTCCTTATTAGTTTTACGCCACACTTTACACATTCTATCATATCCGTAAACGCAAAATTTACTTACCATTTATTTACCCCTTTTTAAATTTTAATCTATATTTTTATATTTCAATGCTAAATTTAAACGCTTTCTGATTAATAGGAATAACAAACGGTTTCAGCCTCGGAGGTCGCGTACGATAATCTCTCTTTCTTAAAGTTCTACGAACATTTTCGGAAGGTGAAATTATTTTTTTTAATCGTTTGATAGTTGAGCCGCTTGGTCCGTTGCACATCTTGTACGATTTCTTTTTCACATTGTTAATTAAAGCACGAAGTTCACGTTGATATAAATCATCTTATAATTGACAGACATTGACAGATTGAATACTTACCGTTTCTCTTTCATGCTAAACTAACATATTTAGTTTATACCATTAAATAAATATAATACATGCATGCACTCTTTCACCGATACATGACTGACCTCTGAATAAATATATTAAATAAATAAGTATTACACAATATCACATATATTGTTCAGATTCGTCAAAGCCCCCGTATTATGGAGTATCTGAGACAACGAAAGTAACACAACACCCAGACCCGACACAATATAGAAAGGTTCATTTTCTACATTGACCCGACCGGGGATCGAACCTGGAACTCAGAGATGGCGACACCTTGAAACCAGCGTGCGAACCACTCGGCTACGGAGGTCGTACGAAGACTTTTGTGATACAATTTTTTTGTTTAATTTTCTTTCTGTATTATGAAATTGATTACTTTTAACTTATAACGTTATTAATTTTTATATTGTGTAGATTGTAGTTTTGATTAATCATATTTATATAAGAATATTATAAATATTTATCGATGTACATTAATTTGGTAGTGTGTACGAAGAGTTTTGTGAGTAACTGTAGAAAACTCTCCTATTTGCGAAAGTCAGTTCAGCTTTCGGTTCCGACCACTATTTGAACGAGAACTGCGAGGTTAGTTGCAGCTTTTACTATTTTTCGGTTCTCGAGTTTACCTTCTCTTGAACAGCCATCGCCATGTTTTTTTTAAGATATTGAATTAATGATCTCATAGGTGTAACGTTAATAAGAATTGTCTGGTAATTATAACCTTTCGATGAGTTTAGCTAAGATTTAAGTATGTCTCGTGGTCATTCAAGTCATAATTCTTTACAAAAGTATTTGCTACTTTAAACGTTACATAGTTCCATAAATTGCTATCAGAATCTTTTAAAGGATTGCGAAAATTTTTGAAATTACACAATTAGCCCGCTGCTCTTATAAAAATGACTCGAGGAAGCGCCAAATCTTTTATTATTAAAAGATTCTTTCTATAAACTAAAATCGCAAGAAAACGAGAAAAGTCGTTAATTACTACATGTTTCTTTAGTATGGGTCATAAAGAAAAAAGCATTGGAGAGAATGATTTTTCAATTGTTTTTCTCTTATTACAAAATGTATTTGAAAATATAATCTGTAATTTTTTTATTTTTTGAAATCAAAGCGACAGTATCTTGTGGAACACCCATTATAACTTGATTTCTATAATTCTTAGCTATTTCGTATAAATAGGTTTTAGGCGTTTTCCTCAAATTTTACAGAAACATTTTCATTATATCAAGCTGTTTAAAAATTCTGGTCATGTAAAATAATATTTTATAATACGATTATGACAGTGCATAAAGACAAAAATATCTTGCTACTAAACCAATAAATGCTAATAAATCAACCTGTCCATAAAAAGTATTGCTCCCATACGTGTATTTCAATCGGCAACTCATTCCTCTCACCCATAGTCGAAATCAAAGTGCTTTCTATTTTTGACTAATGCCATTTACTACTTTTGCTCTTCAAGATTATATACGATTCTATTAATATGAGACGTAAAGTGTTTATCATGTTCCATTTTTATTTATTTGCCGTACTAAGAGATACCAAAAACCTTGATGATCAATCAAATCATACTTGTTTTAACTTTACATAAGTATATGCTTAAAACTAAGCACTACAATCTCAACTCTTTCAATATCTTTTCGTTGGTTTTTATAGCTCCACATCACCTTCCGATAAATGTTATAAACATGATAGATTGAATCGTAAAAGTTGTGTCTCTAGATCCCCCCGCATTATACTAATATTAATTTGATCATTATTTCTAGGTGTCGGAACAAACATGCCCTTGTGAATTTTTACACAGACTGAAAGAGTACAACATAATGAAAAATGCTTAAAAAATCCACTTTGGTACGAACACAGGTTCGAACCCATAACCTTTTGCTATCCGGGCGACTGCCCTAACCACTGAGCTACCCAGAAACTAACAAGACTGACACATCTTTCAAGCCCTTGTTACTCTTTACTACTACAGAGCGTATTCTCATCAATGTTCAGGCAGTGTGGGTACAGAGCCAAATGATTTTTTTAAATATTTTAACTTTTGATGAAGATGAAAATGAAAAAAAAATAATATTTTTCGGTAAAGCATTGTGAAGGTGAAATAGATCAAATAATAGGTTTTACTTATGAAATTTCCGTTCTGCCTTACTGGCCATTTCAAATCAAATTTTTTTTTTTGGCTGATAATTCTAATTTTAAAATAAATTTAGCTCGGTGTTCATAAGTTTTAAGACGAAATAAAAGTTGCGTAACTTTTTAATAATAATAATAAAGCTTTATTTGATTCCATACAAATAAATAGCATCAATAGCATGTAGTAAAACACTTTTTTTTTATTAACTTAACATAAATTAAATTAAAAAAGATTAAATAAATTAAATTAAATTTAATAATGTTTTTCTACATTTGTATAGACCCCCTTAGCACGAATGTTTCCTAGCGGATTTTGCTTTGCTTCTCGAACAAGGGTTCGCTTCAGTGACTCCAAGTTTGGGTGATACTTTCGGCAGGCCCTCAGCTCTAATTCAGTCCATAAAGAATAATTCAATGGATAGAGGTCGGGGCTAGAGGAAGGCCACTCGTCCGCCGCGATGAAGGCCGGCACATTCTCCCTCAACCTAGCTTGGGTGCTTTTTGCCTTATGAGATTGTGCCGAGTCTTGCTGAAAAATCCAATCCTTATGGTGAAATAACGTATCAGATAACGGTTTCACCACGTGCTCTAAAATGTCAGTCTGATAATTCTTAGCTTTCACCTTGACATCTTGTTGGTAGAAATGGAGCGGAGTGACACCTTCATTCGAAACTCCCCATCATACTATGACACTAGCCGGATGATGAGTTCGCGAGACATTCGTGTAGAAACTGGAATATCCTTGCTACTTTTAAACCTTAAGATCATATTTCAGTATTCTGTTTACTGAAACGCGCGAAATATTAGTCTACAGAGCTAGTTTTTTCTGAGTATGACATAGATTACGGCGAAGTCGCTCTCGGATGATTTTGATGTTCGCAGGCGTCCTCACAGAGCGTGGCCGACCACGCTTTTGGCGGTCTTGCAGATAACTTATAAGCAAATGAATTTGCGATTCAAATAAACCAAAAGTTAACATTACAAATTCGGTAAAAAAAATAACAGCCGGTAACGTGTTATTTTATTTTTTCAGTAAAAATTTTGTCTCAGTCTCAAACTTAAGAATACACGAGGTACTTTAAAACCATGAAATTATTTTTTCTAAAATCGTCATTTGTTTAATAACATTTTTCGTCGTCATGGATAAGTTAAATATTTGAGTAATTATGGAGTATGAGTACCGTCGTGGCAGCAAAGCGGCACAAGCGGCACGCAACATCAACGACGTTTACGGAGCGAACACTACAAACGAACGCACCACCCGTTATTGGTATGCCCGCTTCCGTTCTGGAAATTTTGACCTGAATAATGAACCCCGTGGTCGTCCGAAAATTTGGTCGACAATGTCGAAATTAAAGGCGATTGTAGAAGCTGATGAAACTCAATCTACGGCTGAATTAGCAACAGTTTTCGACGTTAGCGTCAAAACAATATTGGTTCATTTGCGTCAAATTGGCAAGGTAAAAAAAAATTGACAAATGGGTACCCCACGAACTAAATGATCGCCAGCGCGAAGTACGCGCCGAGACGTGCCTAGCACTGCTCAAAGAGCATAAAAATGAAGGAATTCTGAACCGTACTGTTACTTGTGAGGAGAAATGGATCCTGTTCGACAATCGTAGACGCTCAGAAGTTGGTTGGACCCTGATTCAGAACCCAAACAATGCCCTAAACGAAAACAACCCTAGAAAAGTGATGGTCACTTTTTAGTGATCTAACGCAGGTGTTATTTCGGAAAATCTACTTTCCTGACAGTCACATTTTGGGGTCACTAATTTTGTACTTGACTTGAAATATAACTTACTTATCTAAATAAAATCCTCTTCACGCATCCTAAAAGCATATCGTTATAATCAATAAAGCCTTGAAATCTATAATCTGATAAGGATATAATGAAATTGAATTCTTATCATCTGTAAATAGTATGCACTCGTATGCAGTAAATTATTTTGATAATTCCTATCAAATAAAGCATGAATATCGGCATGTATTCTGTAGATAAAAATATCGGTTCTATACTGACAGGCTACGGCAGCACTCTGAGATTCGACCCATTTCCACCCACCAACCACACATGCGCAGAAAGAGCAGCCGACTTCACACAAAACAAAACACGGCCTCGAACGCTAGACACGTTCACAGACAGTACATCTGAAAAAGTAAAATTTTCTAATACCAAAATTTAAGAACAATAGCACCATATTTCAAATGAAAGCTTTGAACCTTATAAAATGGAATAACGTTCGGCACGCGAATAAAAATAAACGCACGCGCGGTTCACTGTCAAAACAAACCAACGCTTTTGCGATGTAAACATGAACGAACGTAAAATTCAGCTTTTTATAGTCTCAGTGATCGCTTACTGCATGTACAGTGTTCATATGTGGTTCATGAAAGAAAATGGTGGGACAAATACTGAGACAATACCAGAATCTATTGAAACACCTAAGGATATTCACCTGGATGTGATTCTCAAGAATATCACAACGGATGCTGAAAGAAATGTTAAACCAAAAATCATTCCATTGTTTATAAAAGACGCCTGCAGTATCTTACAAATATTTACCGAAAAACCGACCGGTACAAAAAATAGTGAAAAGAAAAAAGAAGACATGGATGCCAACAGTAATACCATAACAATGATTGGTATCACTGTGTTTCTGGTGATACTCACCTTGAATGCCGTTTTGGATGTTCTGAAAGTCAGGGAAGAAGAAAAGATTAGAAGAAAACTGAATCCAGATGGAGAACGAAGACAATCTTTAGCCGAATTTGCTAATAAAAAGTCATTGCGACGTGAATCGAGCAAGTTTGGCCTTCAGCTGTTCCAAATAGCAGAATCTGTTGTGAGTAATGATGAGGATAGGAAAACCCGTCGTCAAACTAGACCATATACTAGAGGGGATTCCACAAATTCATATTTGAGTGACAGGAAAACTAATCCAAAAGGAGACGGATCTGCACCAGCGTCGATAAGTGATTCAACAATGGGTGAATCGAAACTAGTAAAACGACAATCTGTTGCTAAACTCTTTGGTATGTCATATTTATATTTACATTAAGCTTTATAAACACTTTGACTTTCTTCTATTCTTCCAGTGACTTGTTATTCGTGAAATAGAGATGTGCATTCATGTCAAAATATTTAATTTTGCATTCTTTCAATTTTATGTAAATGTTTATCGGAATTTGGAATTCTAATCTATCTTATTCTGTTACGTTTCAATCTCTGTTCTAAACAAGGTCTGTCTGACGACTGAAAAGAATTACAGGTAACTAAATTTTCGCGCGTATGTAATTAGTAGTATCCACAATGCTTTATACATTTTTATAGTTTTTTTTTTACACTTATTTGATAGCGCCTACTGATTCTCCCTTTGTTGCTTGAATGGTTTGTGCCTCGCATTAGATTATATGAATTTCTACATGAATGAGCAATAGATACAGATTGTCTAATGAATCATAACAGCACATTAGTTCAGTTAGATAATGATATATTTCCTTTGTAGTATCGATATTACTATTTGCAACTTAGTTCTAGCTTATATCAGCGTATTCTCTACCTTAATTGGCTTTGCAGCAAAAAGGCTTATATATAAAACCTCTTACTTAAGAAAATGGCATAATAAGCAAATATTTGAACCAATAGATGAAATGTAAAATTAAATAATAACTATTAATAAATAGTATTATTACTATTATCAGTTCTTATTTCATTCGAATTCTTATTTGTTGAAAACATTTGCTTTAATTATTTTTACTAGACTGCAGATATGGGTACTCGACTATATAGGAGCAGGCCCGTCTTAAGCACAGCAAGCGCCCGGGTGCAAGAATTGCTCTGCCCCTAATTATATGAAGAAGGTTTTAAATAAAATTACAACTTTGGGCCGCATTACCGAACTCATTGATGAGTAGATACTACAAGATACTACCCCATTCACCATGGGTAAAGACGGGCCTGGTGCAATGACGTTAACTTCCATGAAATATCTAAATATTCAGAGCTCGACGAGCGCCCAAGGGCGCGCAGCGCACCCCTTGCACCCCCGGGTAAAGACGGCTCTGTATAGGAGTTACAACCGAGTAACATACGGTCAATTATACAAACGTCCATTAAGGTTTAATGTGTCTTTTAAGCATTAATGAATGTCAAATTTGTATGAGTAATGTCGCTTTAAATTAATTTTATTGGACGTTTGCGCAACTGGCTGATATATTATATTACTCATTAATTACTCCTTTAATATCCTTCTATATATTTAGACATATGTTTATAATAAAAATTTAATTAAACGTAGCTCTAAGTAATTTCTAGATTACCTGACCCATGTATTATATTGTTACCATTTAGCATTTATCAGAATATAGAGAATATTTTATTTACAAAATTTCTATAATCTTTTAGTGTATGGTAATAATCCTTTTATTAATGAAAATCGATCAAGTAGTTTTGGAGCCTATTTAAATTCAATGCTGGTTGCATTTGGAAACTTTCCTCTTTGTAAGATTAATTATGTAGATAATAATTTAATTATATTTTTAAGACACAATATGAAAGCTTAGTGGAAAATGTTATCCAGATATATTTGAGTTAAGGAGCTGACCTTAGATTGCTGAACCGATGTTCATTCAAAGCCTGAATTCGATTACGTGAACTTTTATATGTTTGAGTAAAATACATTTCTAACACTCATTTTTGTATGAGTTTCTTGAGTATTCGTGTTTTTTTTTATATTTTCTCTAAGCAGTTTATCAATCTACTGATTCTGAAATTGCAATTTAATTGCAATACGAGAATGCAATCTTTTTACACTAATAAAATTTACAGTTCTCACGCTTCACTCTTATTTATTTCTAGGATATTCATATGTTTTAAACGTCTTTCCAAAGCGGTTTATCAAATTTTAAATTCATACTGTCTTTTAATTAAATAGAAGACAAAGCGTTTTATGTCTAAAAAAGAATTGTAAGAAAATTTATATTTTACAATAAACTGACAGCGTCCACACTTAATTCTACTTCAGGAGCACGTCCCGTCCCGATGGTGCGTCGCTCATCATTCCCGGCTCTTCCTCTCAACCCTGAAGTCCAGGCCCTGATGCTGGGTCACCGCCAGTCGTCCTTCGACAGCGATGACGAAGATGGGAAAGGACGTAGAGTCAGAATCATCCGTAGATACTAAATATAGAATCAATGAACACTTCTACAGTGCTATTATGCAATAAAATCAGTCTCGAACTCGATGGCGAACACAGCGCTGTCAGATCATAGAGGTTCAATCAAATAGAACCTACTTATTTATCTATTTTATCTTCTGTCTGTCTATTAGAGGAAATTGAGTATGACTATTAAGAGTATAAAAAATTTGGTGTATCTGAAAATTATTTTCTACAATTTAGTGATACTTCTTGTGGACTTTTGAAATTTATGACTTTGAGTCATAAAGTTATATGAATTTTAAAAATATTATATTTTTTAAACTTTCGTTCTATTTAGTACCTACTATAGGTGGTTTTAATATGAAGAACAACAGAGATACAGTTCGACCTGTAATAAAAGTATCAAAAATAACGGCGCAGTAAGTCGTATTAGACTTACTAAGTGATAAGTTTTTATTTATTTAAGTAATAGTATTAGCAAGATTTATATATGGATTCTATATGATTCAGTTTCTGATTTACTTTTTAACGCATTTAAAAAACTTACCTTTATTTTTTATTTAGTCGTTTTATTGTAATTTTGTCAGAACATCCTTTTATTTGATACCTATGTAATAAGAATGCTTACAGATAACTAGTATGCCATATTTTATTTCTAACGGAATGCTAATTTAATTATTACCGAATTTTTTATCAAACCTTTCATTTTAATACCAATGACAGTATAAAATAATAACTACGTCGCCATCTTGAGCTGTCGACCATATTTATAATGACGCTATAAGTATAGCTGACAATTCGAACTAAACCCTAATGCAAACCTGTTTTTCCGTCTGCGACTTCATAAACTTCATCCTCTTATTTCACTAGCTTAGGGGTGGAACTTCTAAAAAACCTTTCTTAGTGCTAATTTGCATCATGAAAGGAATCCCTGTACCAAATTTCAAGTTTCTAGGTAGAGAATTTTCAGCTGTGCGTTGACAATTATGTCAGTAAGGTTTGCCTTTTATTTATATAGATTTTAGTTAAGAGGTCGAGGATTTCTGCTTTAAAATTCAGCAGCTGATTTGACCTAAGTTAAATTAATATCAGTAACGATAGATGTATCTCATACTGAACATTATTTAGAATATGAAATAAAAATATTTTCAAGTTCTAATAATAAAATTAATGTACTGATTTTTTTAAAACTATATATATATCCTTAATGTTATATTATTGAAATGTTATGTAAAAATACTAGTCTAGAAAGATATAACACTTTACACTAACTAAAAGAATTTAAAATATATCAAAAAAATTTATTGTCAATATATTTGACAAATATATTATTCGAAACTTATGAATGGAATTTGAGAGATTTGTTATTTGTGAATTTTATTTTTTATCTGCGTAGTCTATTTTTTTATTCATTACTCGTAATGTTTTAATCTAACAATACGAGGTAATCGTTTACTATGGGTCTCATGAGAAAACTCGAGGTCACCCAGCGGGCAATAGAAAGAGCTATGCTTGGTGTTTTACTACCTTATCCGTAGGAAAACTAACGTAACCGACATTGCTTAAAACGTAGCTCAGCTGAAGTGACAGAAGGTGGGACATACAACGAGAAGAACGGCAGAGCGATTTCGAAAAAATCCAAACCTGAATTCGAATTCACCCATGTGTCCGATTCACGTCATCTAGTGTAGAATTGTTTTTTTGTACAAAAATACAAACCAAGATTGATTAATTATACGTGTCTCAGATACTCTGTGCCTATGTCATTTCGGAACTCAGTCCACTTATGCCATGAAACGTTAATACCAATTCTAGGTTAAGCGGATGTTGCTTTCGAAGTAAATTCGAATTCGGGTTTGGATTTTTACAGCCTTTGGTAGGCCTAATTGGGTTATTTGGTAGGCCTCCAATCAGGTGGACCGACGATTTAATAAAGGCCACTGGATTTTGGCAGCGCAGGACAGATCGTCGTGGAGTCCTATGGGGGAGCCCTTTGCCCAGCAGTGGGCGTTAAACGGCTGATATGATGATGAATGTTTTAATCGTCCACAAAATCACACATCAGATTTAGGAACCCTTAAATGTTGCAAACCGATTATTATGTAGTGATGTTTCTTTTTATCATATTCTTAGTGGTAAATGTAAGCTTTACGTGTATGGATATTTGTAGTTCATGGTAGTTACCGCTAGGGGCGCTGTACCAGGTTCCATAACAAAATCTTAACACGCTCACGATCGACGGTGAATGTTAACATAAAAAAAAACTTTCGCTCTTCGCTCTGATCAAATTTTAAAAGGCCTAATGATACAAAATATCCCTTTTCTCCTTTATCTACAAGTTTTGTATAAAATCTATGTATACCAAAATGAAAAGTCTGTCAATTGTTCTTTTCATTTTTTTAAGGTGGAATGTCGTGTTTTCGCTATTTTTATCTATGGATGGAGCAAATGTAAATTAGGTTTATAAACTTTTGGACATTATATTACGCTAGGTTCCCTTCTTGCCTTTATTATCTAGTAATAAATTATTGTTTATTTATCTGCATATATATGGAATATTTATATCATTTATTACAAAGCCAAAGTAAAAAAAAAGGTCTATTAAGCAGACCGACCACCTAAGTCGCTTGCTGTTACTACAGCCATAGCTAAAAAGCATTATATTGTTTCATTACAATGCTACATAAATGTGTATGAATTGTTTCATTAACCTTTATAAGGTCTTCGGGTCAACTTTGACCCATTTTGCGAAAGAAAAATTTTTTTCTCAAGAAATAAGACTTTTTAGATATTGATATTCTATGACTTTTATTTAATCACTGAAACAAGCTTATTTTCAATAAAATTAAAATATATATGTATATGTTAATATGCTTTTTTAACTTTTTTACTCTAACGGTCTTCGGGTCAGATTTGACCATGCTTAGAATTGAGGTGGGTAGTTACATTTGTTTATAAGATCGTATGTCATGGGACATTATTATGTTATACCGACAATGTGACTAATAAATAAACGCCCGCCGGTGCGATAAATGTTAGTTGAACAAAGCGTATTCATTAGCTCGCAGTCGTAGAACAATATCGTGCCTGTAAAAATGAGAGACAGTGAAATAGAATCGATGTTACATGCATCAGATAACGAAGAATCTTGTTCTGAAATAGAAGATAATGTCGAAGAAGCTGAACAGTCTGATAGCTCGATCAGTGATAGTGAAGTGATTTCGCCTGTTCAAACAATGTCTTCAAAAGACGGAAGAATAAAATACTCTAAGGAACCAATTCGGCAATCTCACGGAAGAGCATCTAGAGAAAACATTATTAGCTTGATGCCAGGATTGACACGTTACTCTTGCTCAAGGATTACCGCTGAGGAAATATCCAGTTTTCAGTTACTTTTTCCTCCCCCTTTATTACATACTATTTTGAAATATACTAATTTGGAGGGTAAGCGTGTTTTCGCTGACGATTGGAATGATATTTACAGTACTGATTTATTTGCATTTATTGGACTGATATTGCTAGCTGGAGTTTTTCGTTCATGTAACGAAAGCACTGTAAGTTTATGGGATACTGAAAAAGGAAGACCCCTTTTCGCGGTAGTCATGCCAATAAAAACATTCAAGAAATTATCGAGAGTAATAAGGTTTGACAATAGAGAAACGCGATCTGCACGGCGATTAGTGGATAAGTTTACTCCTATTCGAGAGTTGTGGAATCAGTGGGTTGATATATTACCTAAATTGTATAATCCTTCTGAAAATGTCACAGTAGACGAGCAGCTCATCGCATTCAGAGGAAGATGCCCTTTCCGGCAATACATGCCATCAAAACCAGCAAAATATGGTATAAAATTTTGGGTTTTATATGATTCTGCAACAAGTTACGTTTGGAATATCCAACCATACACGGGTAAAGAAATGGGAAGCGCGCCTGAAAAAAATCAAGGTATGCGTGTTGTCCTTGATTTGACACGGGGCTTGAAAGGACATAACCTGATACTGTTGATAATTTTTTCACGTCCTATCAACTTGGACAGAAGTTACTAGAAAACCAGATTACTGTAGTTGGTACTATACGCAAAAATAAACCGGAATTACCACCAGAAATATTGGAAACGAAAAGGAGACCTTTGTATTCATCTTATTTTGCATTTACTGAATATACTACAGTTGTGTCATACATTCCCAAGAAAAATAAATCGGTAAATCTCCTCAGCACTTTGCATCACGGCCCAGAAGTGAGTGATCGTGCAGATAAAAAGCCTGTAATAATATTAGATTACAATAAATGTAAAGGCGGCGTTGACACAATGGACAAAGTTGTCTCCTGCTACACCTGCAAAAGAAAGACAAATAGATGGCCCCAAGTAGTCTTCAGCAACATGGTCGATATATCAGCATATAATGCATTTGTATTATTCACAGCTGCCAATGATAGATGGATGGAAGGGTGTCTAGCAAAACGACGAATATTTTTGGAAAACCTAGGTAAGCAGTTAGTTACACCATATATAAAATCCAGGAAAACCTTACCAAGGGCTCCATTTTCTTTAGAAATTGCGAGAAAGATACGTGAAGCTAGTGAAACTGCATCAACTTCAACTCAACATGAAGAAAACAATGTTGTTACTGCTAAGAAAGCTTTCAAAAGAAATCGTTGTCAACTATGTGTAAAAACTGATAATAAAACATCTTTGATCTGTGTAATTTGTAAAAAGTTTATATGTAAACAACATTCAAATACAACTGTTTTATGTACTCGATGTCATAATAATTAATTTAATCATATTTCTTGTTTTGTTCATTTGATTAAAAGCTAAATTGGTAACTTTAATTATTTTAATAAAGTTTTCAAAATTAAATACTTACTTAGTATTGGTAAAAAAGTAATTCATGAATATTGAAAATAATTAGAAATATTTCATAAAAAAAGTTTTTGTCATTTTTATACCCATAATATGCATAAATATAGTACCCGGTCAAATTTGACCCGAGGAACGGTAACGTTAGTAATTTTGAAGCCCTTATGAAGGTTAAGTATTTCTATTATAACAATATAGAATTACACGTTTCAGCATTTACAAATTATTCCTGAGACGCATCGTTCAGTTAGTTTTTAGAAAGAAACAGACTTGAATGCTTTTATAAAATATTTTTGGAATGTAGTACAAATATATATATATGCACTTTAGTGTAATTTTAACAGAAAATGTTTACTGGATGGAACGGGTATAAGGTTAGGAAACTCACCAACTCTTATAGAAGTAACAACATTTGCAAAAACTTCCACAACGTCCAAGGAGGATTAATGGTGACTTAAAGCTCTAAAGAATGTTTTAAAACGTATTTTTTTAGTTTTTTGATTGAGTTAAAATCTCACATGACGTTACAATTTTGTACATTTTCTATATAACTGCGACGTAGCAGGCCCCCTATCCTCAACTTGCTGTTATCTAAGCTATTTCTTGTTGAATTGAAGTAAAAAAGGCCCATTTGAAGTGCGCGCCGATTAAAAAAGTTCAACAACTTTGTTATTTGATAATATGGACACGTAAAAAAGTATTTATTTATAATACATTTTAAGCGTAAAAGCATTAGGATATAGTTTTAGGACATATCTGTTAATATAAAAAAAATTGAATTCTAGCGCTATCTACTGCCAATACCAATGTAACCGTGATGTTCCACCTTAGATATCTTATTTAAAATTTTATGCTATTTATATAAAATTAATAAGTCTGACCCTTCGGTACTGAATATGTGTGATATTGAATTCTAGTTTTTAAATATATTTAAATTTAGATTGACTGTCCTTTAAAATGGCACTTTATGATAATCAATGTACACCTGATATATTATTATTCTTCAATAAAAATTAATGTACAGAACTGCAGTTTGTATTTTATTCTATTTATAATATTTATTTTTTTATTTGGACATAAATTTGCTCTTAGTAATTACTTCACCTAATAACAGGTCGTTTGGAAAGTTATTGACACTTAACAGAATTTTTATATTTTCATTATCTTTCTATGACTAATGTAATGGATTCTATGAAAACATAACTTGAATGATCACTAACTTTTTCAGCAGCAGATAGGTCATGGGTAATAAAACTAAAGTCTGAGTCTAGTAAAGTTTCTGCCTTTTTTTGTTTGTAGAGAGTGACCTTCAGATATACTGATCCAATCATGATAATTCTTTCACCTACAAAAGGCCACGCGCTGCCGCTCCATGCATCCCGTGACCCACCCTTGAGAAAGTTGCTTAACGACAACGATCGTGTGTCGCAACGCTTGTCTACTACGCCACCGAGTGAGAAATTCGTTTATATAGATTACTTTAAAACTTAGTTTTACAATGATTACTCGTTCAATCTAATGAAGCTGCAGTCACTCAAAACATTTCTTAATCCCGTTTTCACTTACCTTTTTAGAACAAGGCTCAGCTTGTCTAGAAATCACTTAACATAAGCATAAGCAGGTTTGGGGTTTCACCAAACCAGTAACGTTAGGTAGCAATGTTTATTTATGATTTTGCATGGTGTGCAGTTTTGAAATATCAATTCGAATTAAGCTGCGTTCTAAGCCCAGTCATGCGGATGTTCGGTTTGTTAACAACTGACGATCAACCTCGTTGAGCTTCAACGCGCAGCTTTGGCTACCAGCCAGCCATACACTTAATTGCGAACAAACCTATTATATTGCTGGTTAGTACTAGTATTAGATATTGACTATATAAAATGCCGAAACCATTCTGTATAGTTTAGCATTTTAAGCGCTGAAAACATGATACATTTCTAAAAAAACTTATTTATTACCAAAAATCAATATTGTTATTTCAGTCTAGACTGTTATAAACACTTGCGAAAGTTGAATGCCATGCCATCGGTTCGTAAATTTACCTCGGGAAACTTTGTACTGAGCAGTACTGGCAGGAAATTCAGTAAGGGCTGCTTTTTTCTCCTTGTTTTATTTCATACGACTCCCTCGAATTGGAAAGTAACTTCATTAGACCATGAATTTCCATTAAAATATTGGAAATAACAAAACATATTATTTTTATTGGATATCCTATAAGTGGAAACTTGTAACCTATAAGTGGAAACTTGTAATTGGCCTTCTTTATAGATATAATAAAAACTATGTATAGTATTACCTAGCTGTAAGTTTTCCTAAGATATTGAAAATAAAATAAAATTTAACAAGTCATACATACAAATATATGATGCATCATGAAAGAACATTAATTAAATTAAGTAGTTCAGAGTTTTTCGAACCGAACATAAGGCAAAAGATCAGGCAGTCGCTTACCAACTATACAGCTAAATTCCAGTAACAGTCAAATATTAATAACCTTTCTAAAGTACATTACATTTGTATTATTTTTTATCGATTTCGAGTATACTTTATGAAATATTCTAAGCAATTTAGATATAATTCAGCAAATGAATTATATGGTAGTGTTTTGAACATTACCTAATATTTGTAATTTAATGTGCAATATCTTTAATCTTTAATATTACAAGGACCATGTCATATGTAAACAATAACCAATAAAAACTAATTGTTTTATTTATAAATGTACTATACTTTATAAATTTACTGTATATAAACAATGCAATCAATTCACAATGCTATAAACACATTATTATATAAAATTAAAAGCTTTTGTGTTTTTAAACAGTAAAGAACACCGAACTTTCACTTGGGGTTGGGCTTTTATAGTAACTGTCAACTTTATTTGGAAAGTTAGTTTAAAACTGCAAACATTTTTGTCATCTAAGTTCTGTGTCCCTAATTTGCTTTGTTTACATTTATTTTTCATCGAATTTGGCTGGCGTATAGATGGACTGATCAGGTTTAATACTTATCATCGTCCAAATTATACATCCTCATAAGAGACACGCTGGACAGGAACCAGTGGACACAAACCACATACCAACTACGACTCGCGGTCATAAGGGACCGACTAGGAGAAAGCAAAAGAGAGAGAAATAAATAACTAAATAACTATAATAATAGATAATACTCTGGTTTAATAACTTAAATTTTTAATAATATAGGTATTAATCAAACTTATTTATCTTATCGACTATTAAAAAAATATAATACTACCATGTTACAATATCAAACCTAAAGTGAAAACAAATAACAATAAGCTTTGCTATTCTGTTAAAAACGAACCCCGAACTCATCGAACGCAGCGCTGTTACATCATAGAGCTTCAATTAAATAAAACCTTTATTAACTAATCCACTTCAAAGAGGTTTTATTTAACTGAACCTATTTGCTTGGCAGTGTTACACTCAACGACAAGTTCGAAGCTGTTTTAATGAATAACTTTACTGGCTGGTAAACATGTTTAAGTATTTAATCAGAAAATGGACCACCATATCGAGAAAGTGGAAGGAAATATTTGATATGTGATAATCAAAATAATATAATTGACAGATCTTTAATTAGGAGACCATCGATAAGTAAGCAACTTGAAATTAAAATAATTTTTTATTGACTATAGAGTTCCAAACAGAAAATTCAATGAAGGAAATGTACGGTGGAAATTTGCCGCGTGTAGACTGGATGGCTTTACTTGGATATCGGCCAAAGCAGGCCCGATACTGAAGATATCACTTTTGTTATTAAATTTCACCTTGAGCTATATTATAAATAGGTATTGGCTCCTCAGGGCTAGCTCGTCCCACTGTAGATCTCATTCATGTACTTGGGCTGAAGTTAGATCAAGAGTGAATCCATTATAAATAATCGCTACGGAAATTTACTGAAAATAAAAAACTGTATAATTAAAAGTATTTTCATGCCTGACATTATTAATAAAGAAACCGCGGAAAAATATCAAGTTTTTTATTAAAAGTACAACTAAAACCAGAATTACTAAACGCTAATCAAACGGCTCAGTACATTAGGGAGTGCATATTTTGATATTTAAAAATAACATTCTAATTATTTGATTGCAATGAGTGCTCTATTGAAGTTTTTGATAATTTTTGATTCAATCAACTAAACATGTAATAATCTATGATACATTAAAATTAATTGATTATTAAAAAAGAAACTCTATCATAATTCACATCTCTAACTCTACAATTAATGAAAAAAAGATTAACTCCAAATAATATTGCGGATTCGTCTATAGACCTACGAACGATATTTATTTCGCTGTAAACATCAACAGCAGAGACCTTGTTATAGTTTCAAAAATAATTCACGGCGCCCGCGCCTTTGCGTGTTGCAGTCTTCTTCAGGCGATATCATAGGAAACTCGTTCCAACGTTCAAACGTTATAGTGTTATGTAACATGTGATTGTCAATAAAGAATAGTATAATGTTAATTAAATAAAAGATGGACTCAAAGAAGTAAATACTGTAACCAAAATCAATCAAAATGGATCAAGACATAACACCTGCTATTGTGCTGCATTGGAATTATAGAGGTTTCACCGAATTTCCACTGCATCGGTTAAATGGAGAAGAATCAGAAATAACAGATATATACCTGAAAGAGAATTTAATATCTCGCGTGCCAAATGAAATATGCAAATTGAGGAATTTAGAAAGTTTATATTTGAGCGGGAACGATATAACGGAATTGCCAATACAAATATCGGAATTGCAATATCTCAAGTGTTTGGATATAAGTGGTAATAGATTGAGAGCCCTCCCCGATGAGATCGGTGATATGAAATGCCTTAAGTTTCTGATACTAGATGAGAACGAGTTGACAACTCTTCCGTTAAGATTGAACGAGCTGCGCTTCCTGCGATATCTATCGGTTTGTGGTAAACATTTTGTTTTTAATTGCCTTCATTTTATCTCACGTTGAAAGAGTCAATATCTTCTTTACCAATTTTAAGCAATTCACAGATCTGTATTTGACAGTTCAAATATTACTATTAGCAAATTTAAACTAGACTTTATATTTGATTATATTGCGAGGTTTCATTCGCATGACATTATCGCGGGCTACTTAGTAATAATAATTTTATTAAAAGTTATTTTCTAACAGCTGATTTATAAACTCATAAAATTGCATATGACCTGTCTAGTTTTAATTAAGATTAACACACGTCTTTTATATATTAAAAGACCACGAAAATACCGCACCTAAGTGACATACTAACCGATATTATATAATACTAGGAACTCAGCTTAGCAAGTTTATTGCTCGGTTAAAGTTAACTGCTGCAGTTAAGCTGTGTACTCATAAACTGATAGCAAACCTTACCTTATCAGATGTGATCTTAGGCACTTTTTTCAAAATTCTTGTCTTTTCAAAAAATAGCATTATTGTCATTATATTTTTTCAAGCTAGGCTGTAAGAACTTTGGTTTTGATCTATGTATATTACCTAGGTATAATGTTGCTCAATTATTTGTTCTTGTTTATATATCATCGCAAATCTACGCCGGGAGATCTTTGATAAGCAATACTACTGTTGTAGTATTATAATATCTGTAATCATGCTTATTATAAATTTTTGTGTTTTTTTTTTGGATTCAACAAATAAAGAAAAAAAACTGATGGATCGTGGAAGCGATGGCAGCGAGTTCGATGTCTGATTCGGGTTCGGATCTCTATCTGGAATCGTACTCTGCAGAATTTGTACTCTTAAAACCGATCGTCTAGATAGTTTCGATCTAATTAAGATATCATTATATCCTAAATTCGCGATATATCGAAAATTTATTACATTGATTAATGTCCGAGGTTAGAGGCACCATTTATCGATGTTTCAGGTCCACATCCTAGTTCGGTAATGGATGCTACCCATAAGCAAGGTGTATTTTAAATAATTACTATATATCGAAAATTGATCAACTCATAAAGTAGCATGCAGGCCACGATTAAACCACGCCCATGAGCACACCTCTTTAATAGATCGTAAATGCAAGAAAGACAGAAGCTGGCGCCTAGATTACAAACTGTCAGTGTTAAATCAAACTTTAACACTTCCTTATTGATTTGTTTGACCTGATTCCAGTGCTCCCTAATAAAAATTACAGCTAAACATAGAAGGAAGGAAGTATTAAAATAAATTTAATCGGCTAGAAGTTTTGGATGAATTTGATCCAAAAGTTGCATTTGACATTGGTATTTAGTAAATGTAATTATAAAAATAATACTTATCAACACTGTTCTGAAATATCAACATGAGATAAATGTTACAAAATGTAGCTTTTTTGCCAAATTTGCCAATAAAGCAGAAATATTTACAAGTCACTTTTACAGCCCGATTCAATATTTACAAGATATTTTTATCCGTTTGACAGTTAAATATTTCAATGCCATATGCAGTGCTATTCTTTTAAAATTACACACTTTTTCAAATGGTAGTTTATGGTTTTGTTTGATTTAATCTCTATTGCAGTGATAACGCTGTATTAGACGATGCATTTGACTATTACTATTTGTTAGAGAATAGCAAAACAAGAAAAATAATTTACTAAATATTTTTTATATAAGACTATTTATTATCTTATCTATCACTCATGGTAAAAATATATCACAAGAAAAAATATTATTTTAAATTATTTTGAAAGCTTATAAGCTCTAAAATTATTCTTGTACGTCTTCTATATATCATTTGCAAGTCGTTTTAAAGAGAAATCTCGATGAAATTTCACTGTTATCAGCACCCTAACATCTAAACTCAAAATAGTTTTAACGATACTTGCTTTCCAAGTTACGTTAACCATAAAAAGAGATTTAAAACAAACATTTCGTAGAAAACAATAGAAAATACCAGACCACAACTTTTTTAGTTCAGTTTCATCATCGATAGATTCATTAGCGTCGTTACTGCTTGAGCACAGGCCTTCCCTATGACAGAATCGAATCAAATAAATGGGCCAAAACCCACTATGTGAACTCGATGGACATTGATGGTTATTAACGACTGCACTTGCAGCCGGGCTTTAATTATGTATCGTATGCTATCTATCTATTAAATTGAAGAATTTGAACTTGAAATATTATTACGTGATCGCAAAAACGACATAAACACAGATCAAAAGTAATTATGTAAATGCCAAGGCCATTGTTATCTGACACACTAATATTTTTACTTACAATTAGCTGAAAATCAGGACGACAGAAGACACGATCACGACATAATGATCACTTTGGAAGCTAATCTAGAGATTGGCAACAATTTTTAACTAAATACTAATAACGGATCTATTTTCACATAATAATACTAATTCAGCCAATTGCACGAATATCCATTAACATTGTCATTAGTTTAATCACTTTATCCATATTAGAACACTTTACGGCTTAAGACGTTATTAAAAAATTTTGGACGTTTGTGCAACTAACCGTATTCCTTCTTTTTCTGCAGACAACAAACTCCAATGGCTACCACAGAGACCGGTATTTAACTACCATCATTGCGAGTTTAGATTTTGGAGGAACACCAGACTGAGATCAATTCCATATACGTTGTGGTACCATATGTTTCGTGATCAACAAACGAGAAGTTTAAATATCGGGTAAGTATATTATAATAAAAGTCCTAAATATATTAAGCTTTCTTATATTTCCTTCTCCGATATGTCAAACTACATAAAGCATATACTGGGCCGAAAGTATCAAAGCGATTCGTCCTCGTAACATATAATTCATCACGATCATTGAGAACCATATTTTGAATGAATATTATTAGCAACTTTTAAGACAAACTTAAATGAACCTTTCATAACTAGTAGGTTTAAAATAAGAACTTCCATTTATTGAAGAATCAAATATAATCAAGTGTTGTTAGAGAAGCTGTTTCGAAGAGAACCGAAATTCTCAAAATAAGTCTTATATATTTATTAAAAAAAAAACAGTATCAATGATACATGTCATAATGCATAGCTAGTGTAGAATTAAATGTGTTCCTCGATTGTAGCAACACACAACACGACATATCCTTCAAAAAAATAAGTACAATCAATTTGATATCTAATCAAAAAAATATGTAAATAGAAGAACGTTTAGATATCGTCTAATAAATAAAATTCATGCTCAATCAGTGTTTGGTGGTTCAAAGAAAAATATCTGTTCGCTGCCGAGTACATCGAGTAGTTTATCTTTTGGAATAAAGTAAACTTACTCTCCCATATATATCAAAAGTGATGCCACAAACAGCTGAACTATTTCAGAAGCAATTATCACCATAAACAATCTCCCGGGAAATGTTTCCGTGTCTGATGGGGAGAAGGCAATAACATAACATCCATTTATAGAACAGAATCTAAGTAGTAGGAAACTAGTTAATATTATTAATACTTTGCTTTTATTTCGTATGATTTTTGCATTTAAAACTCGTATTAATGATACTGCAAGTTAAGTATTAGTTTTAAGTAAAGACAAAAATTGATGTATATCGTATGATGTTTTAGAAATTGTAATGAATTAATTAATGATTTTAAATTAATAAGTTAATTTTGAATTTGGCCTATTAAAAGTATGGCCACAAAATCCTCACCCGTCTTTAATAGTAGTTTCTTAAATTTTAAACCTCTTATGTAGTTTTCAACGGTTATTATTTTTTTTTTTTCATGGGGTTTCGAATGACCTTCAATTGTTCTTTAAACATTTTATATTAGAATATCTGAAGATAAAATTTCAATTAGTGTCATTGCTTCCGAATCTAATAGTAAAAGAATAACACATGTAACAAGATTACTTACATACATACGTTTTTCAATCCAATATTTATTTATTTTTCTAGATGTCTGAACATTTTAAGCCATCAACACACATCAAAAATTGCCAAGTTCCGATTGAAATTATATAAATTTTCAAGTGAATGCGAAGTGGAACTTTCGTGTTTACCATACCAGAATATAATGTTAAACACAGACAAATTTTCACCACCAAGCCTTTATGAAATTACCAAAAGACAGTTATATAACATGGTTTGTGAAGCTGCGAAAAGACAAACATATGATACGGATTATAAATATCAATGGGAAAATTTCCACTGCAATAATCGCCTTAAAAATCTACAAGACACTTTTAGCGACATTAATATCGATAAAGGCGAAAATAATAATAAAGACGAGAATGGAAACAGTGATACTTTAAGCAATGTCACTCATAAAATTAATAATAAAACTAGAATAAATAGTGATTATACACCAAAAGATATTATTGAGGAGCATTTTAAATATTTACCAAGTTTCATAAGAAAGGAACTTTCCAATGGGCCTTTATCGAGATGTGAATATGTGGAATGCAGAAGACCTGTCTTTGATTACGCTTATTTTGAATTTTGTTTAGGGTATGTATGCATTTGATAAAAATACTTAATAAAAAAATGCTTTTGAATTGATTTCAGTACGTGTATAATTTTCATAGCATTTTTAAAAGTTTCATATCCTGCAAAGATTAATAGTATAGTAAAACATACTACAAAATATGAGCTAAAAACCATTCAAAACTGTTTATTATATGAGTAAAACAATAATTAGATTGCTCAGATACCAAATTGAGTAGTTTTAGCACTTGAAATGTGGAAATCCTACACCTGTAACAGTATACAAAAGTAATGAGGAAGAAATAAAAAAAAAATTGTTCCCGAAATCAAACTAGATGTCGCTACGGGATGTTCTTGATTTCTCCATGACATCCTTTCCGGTTTTATTTCAAGTTTAAAAGTAAATTAGTTTTCAAAACTCAATAAACAACTCATATTCTATTTATACTTTTTCGTATTTGTATTGATATCTAAGTTTCGAACTTTTCAAAAATCAACTTTTGCTTGAGCCGCCATCTAGTGGAGGTGCTTTTTAGTGCTTTCGTATTTTTTTTAAATACTTCCTCATCGAATTGGGAATTTAACTCCTCAGAGGTGGCGACACTTTGAATCCGGCTTGCGAGTCATCAATAAAAAATAAAGTATCAGAGCAATTACCTTATAATATTAGTAACATACTTATGTAAATAGTACCCGAAATTATGGTTTAAATATAAATTTTTAATCTTTCAGAAAACTCATCCTTATTGATAACGTCGAAAATATAATTCTAAGTGCCACATTTTGTTCCAAATCTTGTTCGGATAAATGGAAAATTGGAAGAGACGTTATACCATGGACGATAAAGTGTTAACACCAAATACTAATTTTAATATTATTTATTTGTATTTAATAAATTATTTTTACCAATGTTAAAATATTTCATTTATTTAAACATCGTTTTTACTACTCTTCATCCTTTCCACCTTCATACCTTTGTATTTTTTTATGATGAGGATTAGGCTTAGGTTAAGCTTGAACGGTTGAATTGCTAGAGCAGGCACTTTCATAGAAATAGGATCAGTTTTGAGTCGTTGTTAAAATATAAAATAACTGAGAGAAATATGCGGCTGAAATAAACCAAATAATTATCATTTTTACGTAGGTAAAACTAATAAAGTGTAAAAAAGTGGAAGTTCTAAAAAAACGGAAGTTTATTTGTGCTGATAACCATTATGGGAACCACCTTTAATGGGTATCATTTTGATTTTGCTTATCGAGAACATTTAATAAATACACGTTTTGGCTGCGATTGTACCATTAGAAACATATATGTAAACTCAAGGTGTAAATTAGATTCAATGATAAACTCAATGATATTATAAAAATTATAAACCTAGGACAAATTTTTATTTTTTGTTTTGAAATTTGCGCAATGCTTACAATAATAACAAAGCCCTAATACCTAGTTATTCTAAGCCTAAAGGAATGTGTTGTACTATGAATTAAAATTATATTTTTACATTTTCCTTTTACTTATCAGACAGCATATTTATTAAACAAGTATTAAGATACTTCCAAGAATCTGGATACTTCATTGTACAATACATGAAATTATGAAGTCTAATCTTCTGAGAGATTCTTAGTCTGCATTTTACGGAACTTAATCAAAGTATCTACCAAAGTTTAAAACATTTATATTCTCTTTGTAGATTACTAGATCACCTATGTGGATCACAGGTGCAGTTAACACGTCTAGAAGTCTTTAGGTTTACATCCGTTTACATACACTTTGCCTTATATTTACCTCAAAAAGGCTGAAAATATATAACCTTCTTGGATTTGGCTACTCATAAATTTCTTCTCGGAGAGTATTTAAAACTCGTGATCTACTCTTTGATTTCAATAAAAATAAATCAAAGAAAATTTAACATATCAAATAATTCTCTTCACTCTTCAAGAATTTGTAATTAATATGAAGAAAGTGAAAACATCTGCAAATAGTAGTATAATATCTCATGAGTACTTCCAAGGTCACCAATGCAGTTTACCAGCAGAAAAATTGTCCACTTTAACAATAAAATGTGCGGCGTGGCAGAAGATTATACTAGACATAATTACAGTAACTCCAAACGATGCCAGAGCTCGTAATTTATATAAGTAAGTTGAAGCTAAGATTTAACATTAGCTACTCTGTCCCAACTCACAGGACATCTATATGAATGGAATCGATCAAAAAGAACTCTAGGCTAACTGTCTTATTGTTAGTGATAAGTTAAATAAGTTTTTGTTTATAATATTAAACATCTTTTCATCTGGAGGTCAGGGAGATTCGTAATTTGTAAACAATATTATATTATATCAGCTGTCAAAACTCGAAATAATTGTGAAGCCACTTAAAAATTAGTGCATTAAAATAAAAGCTTTATAAATAGTTAAACTAGTAAATGTAAATGAAAAACAAAAACTATGTAATTGTTAATTTGTACTTTTTACGAAAGAATATTTTTCCGTCGTAGATGAAATGAAACGTGATAGACATTGTACAGTTCAAATCTCATTGGGGTAATGTAGCAAACGGTTTTTGTAGGGTCCGAATCGCATACGGGTAAATATTTATTAATCTCGCATTTTTTTCCCAGCTTTATTTTAAAACTTAATTACATTATATGAAATAAGTAAAACATAAGCTACATTTTGAGATATATCAATAGACGCGTTAGTAATTTTTTAAGTCAAAATTCTTGGACAGTTGAAAGATATTCACAAAACCAACTACCTACATACTATGAGTTAAAACATTTTTATTTTGTTACTTCATTATTCAAAACATCATTCGTTCCGAAAGTGATTGCAACATTAAAAGTTACATAATTCCATAAATCGCAATTACATTTGGTCGGTGGTCGACTTTAGTGCGGGAGATGTACAGTCGCGCATCTCTTGCCTTTGACGAGGGGCATTCTTGTCCAAAATTATTTTCTAATCGATTTTTCTATGAATATTTCATTAAAAATTAATTATTTTTAAGGTCGTATGCATCTTTGTGTGAGGAGAAATACCGCCATTACATGCATTACCCTTTTATTATACATCCATTCAGCAAACTTCGATTGTGGCTTGAGATGTCTTTCGTATTGTCCACCTTACTATGCTATACCGCTGTGGCGTGGAATATAAGTGAAACATATAAACTTGAGGTAATTAATATTACTTTTTAGTTGAATAAACCATTCTATCAGTGGATTTACCGGATTCCTGCCTTGAGATGCTTTAGATAGTTGAATTTTCAAATATCTTTTGTGTATGGCAGATGATGATAATATAAAAAAACTTCCTTTAAAAACAGGAAAATAATTATCTTAGAAGCGGTTCTTAGATATACGCTTACTCATGCAAATTCTTTGAAATCGGGCAGTTACTATTAACAACCTACACAAATACATATGAACCTCCTTTAAAACGATGATGATAAGTACTACTTTGCACGCGTTTGAACTTGGATTTCTTTTTTAGAAAATACTACTTTATCATTTTTAGATTTTTCGAATGTAAAAACACCAAATTTACATTCGAAAAATCTTATTTTTATACTAATCGGGACCTATCGAAATCCATGGTAGTACCCACGACAATTCAGAATATGTACGCGATTATATATTTTCTTCGGTGAATTCGGTGATATAACTCTATCGTTTTAGCATTTTCGTTATTTGGCAGAACACTTCCAGTTATTTTGCTACAAAAATAACACTACTAATCAGATTTAGATAAAATGTTTATGGGAAAAAAATATTATAACTTTAGAACAAAAATAATTTTGTGAATCTCTTCAGATAGGTATATAAATTAGTATAAAATAATTGAAAAATGCTCACAACAACAAAAATAATGAACTTAATTAGTAATATCTGTAAGATGTAGTTCATTTAGCAAAGCAGTTCAAAGAGAAGAAACGCAAGATTTAGACAAAGTTCGAATTCGGGTCCCGTTTGAAAGTATCTGTGACAGTTTATTTGACTCTATCGGACAAAAAGCTAGGGTCACCAGATAACCTTCAGGAGGCCATTACACACGTGAAAGAGTTGGAAGGGTTTCTGGTGGTCCTGAAGCGCGACCGCCTCGCTCACCATGATTACAGCTATAGGATACGGCATCTTTAACATGTACCTTGGTTACGATGAACGAAGGATAAGGATAGATGATTATGGATTTGATAGCAGCATATACCAATTTAGTAATTTATCCTAAATTTTATCCACCAAAAGATATGTCAAAGTAGGTACATTAACATAAAACGAAATATCTATCCTATGGCGAGAATCAAGGCTACAGAGTTGAGTGGTCGCACTCTGGCTGGAATAACCTCCGGCCACACACTATACATACGCAAAACAGACGTAATTTTGTCTTTGAGTTGCGGAGACGCCCATAGGAAGAAGAATCAATTTATTTTGATAGCATTTAAATTTTTTAAGGATCTCAACGACATCATCTTACATGCCAGTGACGTCATGATGCTGACGAACATACTAACAAATCTGTTTACCGGATACGTTGACGGTTATTCCTATCGTCGTGTAATACTGGATCCCTTCAAGATTTTCTCTAGATATTTAAAATCTTGGCTGGCGCTGGATATACTTTCTGCAGCTTCTTTTTTGCCACACCTACTAAACATTCAGAATGTGACACACCAAATTATTCTAACTAGCTTGAAGATCCTGAGAATACCTCCGCTCTACCGATATTTAGAAAATATTAATAGAGCCTACAGAAGCGGGGTAAGTAAAGGTTTTATAGGTGTTTTTTCTTCAAGATTTACACGCGAACAAAGTGATTTAGCAGAATTCTGCGAATATGGCTGAATTAAATCTCCAATTAAGAGTCATCAGCAGTGCCGAATTAAGCTAGAGCGGGCCCGTAGCAAAAAACACAACACAACTAATCTATGACTTAATTTTAATTTGTCAGTTTATGTTTATACTTAAAAATATGACTTGACTATAGAAGCGGCGCTTATTTTAGTTATTGCATTATTTAACACTAACTTGAAAAACATTATTATATCAAGCTTCTCCTTGCTGCGGAAGACTAATTAAGCTGTTGGTCCCGGCTGCACTGCAGTCGCCAACACCCACCATTCCGCTAAGGGCCCGCATGGATTTTCTAAGCTGATGGTGAAGCGAAAAGTTTTACAAGAAATGGCAATTTCAAAATTTCTTTATGTTAAATGAAAACTTCAATTTGATTGAAATAAAAAATTCAATTGTAGCGTCGCCGTAACGTACGATGTTTTATTTATTAAACGTAGTTTTTTAGGTTTTATTGAAAACATGCCAGGAAATTCTAATCTCTCTCTACGTATATCTAATGTGGAGTGTTTTTTTCCAATTCTCCATTGAGTACGTCGCGGAGAAGTCTTTCCACCCAAAACATCCTCGGAATTGCTCATGGATATACAAGGCACAACTATGGAACGCCTCTACGACCGCCCGTTTTATCTATTCCTTTCATATGGCAGGTAAATATGTTTCTTTTAGTCACGTTAAGCCATTGGTAGTGGCTGCATTTGCAGTAGTTAATACCCGCCAATCTGCATTGGAACAGCATGGAGGGTCACGGCCCATCTTCCTTAAACATCCATAACGAAGGTCTGAGTCCCTGCAGTGATGATGATGATGACATTTAAAATCATGATTTAACCTACTTATAATAAGTAAATGCGTGCATGTGGATATACAAATTAGAAGCTTCAAAACTATTGTTTTCCTGATTCTTAAGAAAGCAGTGCTCAATTATCAGAATTTATTTATAACATTAGATAACACCACATACATTGTTCAGGTTCCAAGATGAGTAACTTAAGCCCCTATATTATGGAGTATCTGAGACAACAAAGGTACCGCAATACCCAGACCTAAGACAATATAGAAAAGTCCGTTTAGTACATTGACCCGACCGGAAATCGAACCAAGCACCTCAGAGATGGCGATAACTTAAAACCGACGTGCGAACCACTCGGCTACGGAGGTCATCAAAACAATCATGATATAATATAGTAGATATTTGGTAGGGTTATCATTGTTTTGTTTTGAATCTATAACGTTCTACCTTTACTTGATTCAGCACTTGTTACAGTTGGATTATTACGAAAACATACAAACACAAGATTTTTCCAACACGGGTGCTACTTGGAAATATTCATAATGATATCTTGGATATTTGGCAAGGTAACTGTCACATCTCGACTATTTCATTTGACCCTTCCCTTAGATATAGGACTCTGCGTGATTTTCCTGTTGTACCAGGGTGCAATCTCAATTGTGGGTATAGCCAGGGTTTTTGGTGGGTCGGACCTGCTCAGTGGTCCCCACTGGCAGGCGGGTAGAAGATAGAACTTGACAAATGTAGTTCTCATCTAAAGCATTTAGATGTCATTTTTTGCGTCACTTAATTAACATTGTCATGTTAAATGACCTTTCTAGTTGCAAAAAGAATTTTTTACACGTATTAGTGCTTGAAAAATCCAGACTCTTGAACGTCCTGTTGGGTCTTGAGAAGCTCAATGTTTAGAGCAGTCGCCCGGATTGCGATAGGTTGTGGGTTCAAGTTCTCAACTTGGGGTCAGATACACTGCACCAGGGTCGGTGGATTTTCAAGCATTTTTCATATTATTATATTCGGTTTTAGATACTATTACTGTACTGTGGATTGAAGTATTTCGTCGCAGTATACGGTGTGGAATCAGCTGCATGTAAATATTACAAGATACGGAAACAAGTTGAAATGTATATGAAGCAGAGAAAGCTCCGACCAAGAATCAAAGAGAAGATACTTAAGTTCTACGCTATACGATACCAGACTACTTTCTTTGTGGTACCTATGACTTTTTTAATAATTAATTTTAAAATATTTGCTTAACCATGCTTGAAGGCACGTTAAGCTGGTAGTCCAGGCTGCATTCGTTAAAACCATTCCGCATTGGGCCCATGTTGCGGCTCACGGACCATCCTCCCTATTTCGATTCCATCCATAGGGAAGATCTGTGGTCCAGCAGTGGGGACTTTAATAAATTGATAGTTTTGGCCATTTTAAGAATATTTGCAAAGATCATTGAGTACGGTGACGTACGAGTATAAGCTCGTTTATACACGGAATACTCTGATTTTTCTTGGGTCAAAAAAAAAATAGGACTATCCTCATCGAAAAGACCAAGATAACAGATTCTTTATTTGCTTCACTTCATTAACATTTTCGTTTTAAGTATGCTCACTAGTAAAGATTCAAAGAACATTATATCCTAAAATTAAATTAACTATAATCAGTTGAAAGTCCAAATTTCATCACGAATAGTTTCGTTATAAGCTTAGTTCTGTAATTTCTCAGGAAGAGCGCATTTTACCGTGCGTGTCAGGCCAACTGCGTGAAGACATAATAATGCACACTGGCCGTCAGCTGCTCCGAGAGCTGACCTTTATGAAACACCTTCCGAAGAAACTTCTATTGCAGATAAGCTTTCAACTCAAGCTGGTAATATTTACCGCGGGCGATATCATTTACAAAATAAAAGATTTAGGTAAAGACCACCGTCTAAATTTTAAGTATTTAAAACTGTATACCTGCATATTGTAACTTTAGTTCATTAACTAAGTACTTTAGAAAAATCCTGGGTATTTGATACGTACGTGGTTGGTTGTATGTTTTTAGGGGTTCGTTTCTCGAAAGAAAAGCATGAAACCCTTAATGGGCCACACTGTTGTCTGTCTGTCTGTTACGACCCTTAATTATGGGCACGTCGAGTTGACATTAAAACATACAGATATATTAGATACTAGACCACCCAGTGTACTTCGTATCACCTCTCACCGTTTAAACCTTCATTAAAAACTACGAAAAACATTTCAAAATCAAAATCAGCTAAACCGTCAGCAGGCGTTCTTGAGATTAAGCGACACAAACGGACAGCATTGATTTTTAAAATCAAATGGTAAAAGGACCCTTCATGCCAGAGTTCCACTTGCACATTATATACAATTTTAAATAATATTTTTTCAGGTGAGTGCGTCTACTTCATAGACAAAGGCACCGTAGCCGTTTATTCAGAATCTGGAAGAGAGATCTGTCATCTAGAAGACGGTGATTTCTTCGGAGAAATAGCGTTGGTTTTAAGATATAAATTTCGTACAACGTCTGTGGTGGCAGTAAGCAACTGTGAAGTATTTATGTTAGACAAAGACGACTTCAATAAGACGATCGCATGCTACCCGACTGTATATGAACATATTAAAGAGGTCGCTACATGGAGACATGAGAGGACATGTGTCCTCGATGAACGCCATAAGAATGAGATGAGCCATTCGAATGATAATGATAATAGCGATTAATCCTGTAGATATAAGCATACAGCACGCCAGGGGCCAATTTCGTAATATATCGCAATTCCTTTCAAAGCTAATAATAGATTTCGGAACGAATATTGATTTGAATAATAAAAAAAACGTCGCAATCGCTATCGCATGTCAAATAGCTTCAACTATTTGACATGCATTCAACTATTTCAGTGACATATTGAAATGTATTGAGTTATTTTCGGTCTATGATCGAAGTAATTTATGTAACTTTTAGCATAAGTGTATGGTAATCTTGTTTGTGGCTCATAAATAAAAAATAAAATAAAAAAATATTAAATTACTGACTTGATTTCGCTACCGAATGTCAAATGGCTTTAACTTGTTGACATGCATTAAACTATTTCAATGACATATTGACAGGGATTGGGATAGTTATACAAATTTATCAAATTACAGACTTGATTCAAACCTGATTGCATTGGGGGTAGTTGAAAATAAATTGCTATAATTTGACATACTATAGTAACCCGAAGAGGTGATGGGTGAAACATTTATCTATTCTTGCAAAATATCTGTATTTTTTAATGGCAAAACTTTCACTTAGAATAATGTTCGCCACATATCAAACGGAAGATACGTCGCGTATTGATGGCGTCGGTTGCGGAAGGCCAGTACCAGAAACATTATGAAAAATGACAACCTACCTACACGCATACTTTCGAGACGCGTGACGAATCTTCTGTCAGAGTTGAACCGACCGTAAAACCTTACGCTTAGATAAAATAAATAAGTTCATTATAATATTAGATCATTAGTCAATCTATATTCTTGAATTACTAATGAGTAATCCAAAAAGTAATCGAAGTCTCGCTATATTATTTTAATTCCTATTTTTTTTTTGTATTGGCATTACGTGTCCTGTATCCTCATTTTCTGCATCTTTACTTATTCATTATATTAATGTGGTAGTCTTTAGAATTAATGTTAAAGTTACAGTGGTATACGTCTTAGTTATATTTTTCTGTTAAGATAAAGAAATAAAACGAGTTATAAGTTTTTCACCTTTATTTTAATAAACCAGCCACCATAATTTAAGCGTAAGATCGAGCATAATTTATGAGAATCAAAAATACTGATTGTGTGATGTTCAACAAAAGTAAAATGAAATTCACAGACTTGTCACTAATAACAATAAAATAATAGATTGTCACAACCTCATTGATAGATTTATATTCAAAATTCACATACAAGTATTTCAATTATTTTAAAATCTATGGATAGAGTAACTCTGCCATATTTCCAAATAACATTTAGATTCATAAAAAAAAATATTTGTGCTTGAAATTAAAAACCACGCTGTGTCGTGTAATAAATAATTAATAACTTTTTATAGCCCCGTTTCAAAATGAAACAGCACACACTTTTAGGCGGAAATATATATCTAACTTTGAGTTTGAACTTTGTTTTCAAGGCAATAAAATATATATTTGCCATTGAGGTAAGCAAGAGCGTGGTATGAATATCACTAGATACTTTATTCAGTGCATTCTTTGTGAACATAAATATTATTCGGTTCATTTTGCATCTACTGGTAATAAAAATATTCAGGCATATCATAAAATATAACTTTCAGAGTATTGTATTTTATTAAAGACAGAAGATCCGGTTTCAGCCATTTTAAGATTATGATGACCTAGTTTTGGCCATTTTAAGTTACCAGAAAGTGAACGTTGACACGACACAGGTGTCAACGGTATTAGTTTTTACTTGCATATGCGATAGTTAGAACGCCTTGAAGTGTCTAATAGCCAAAAAGGGGGCAATAGTCAAAATCAGATCTTCTGTCCTAGTAGAGTTTATCCACAGCTATCAGCACGGAATCTAACTGTCCATGCTCTATCGTGTCTTATCGTTCACGAATTGGTATTTAATGCGATGTGCTCGGCAATATGGCCGAAATCTGTCTCATTGCCGATAGTGATAGGATATGATGAATTACGTGAAAAGGCTTCCTAATTGGGTAGTTTCGATAGTGAAAAGTAAGTCACAAAATTGCATAAAAACAAAAATTTGGTCGCAATACACAAAGAGGTTCTGATTTTGAGTCTTAAAATCGCACGATTATTATATTATTTTAAAATTAAAAGTTGAAATTTTTTGTACGTGTGTCACGTGACTTGAAATACGACGCGCCAGTCTGTGCCGTCACTGTGGCGACAGCTTTCAGATTAGTCAAAGGTATGCCTATTAATTATAAATCAAATTCCTAGATGGTGCTGCTCTTTTCTGAAATATAATTTAATTAGATTTTTCCGGCAAGAAAACGTGTTGATTTTTCCGAATATATATTTGTTACAAGGGTTTTTTAAATTGAAAAACGTAGTTACAAGTATTATTTCAAACTATAGAGATTATAGGGTAGTAGAATATACTCGCAAACTAATACGATTTTTATTGAAGTGCTGCATAAATCTTTCGGCTATAATATATTTATTAATTTTCCCTATAAAGGTATAATTACATCGAGACACGGAAAATGGTAAATTTCAATCACGTAAGTGACTTAACCGTTAAGTAATTTTACATTTTTCTATGCGATATAAAAGAATAAATTTAACGAAATTAGTAATATTAGGAAATATACTCTTTTAAAATTGGACTTGGAAAGCATACGATATCATGACACACGATCATAAGCGGAAAAAACTATCGCATGCAGCAGTATAAGGCATAGATGTTATTCCGTGCTAAAATGTGGGATAACCTTAACTAGAACTAAAATAGAAAAAAATTCTAAGGAATTATTTCCTAAGGAACATTTTTCCAAATCCCAATTTGGAAAAATGTTTTAAAATAATGATGAAAGCGGAAAAGTTATAATTCATAACAAAACTTGTTTCAAACTCTGATTCTGAAAATAATTAAAATATGTGCTTAAAATCATATACATATTCGATTTATTCGACCATAATTTTGAACTTAACTTTAGATAATATGAAAAGCATTTTTTTTAACTCTTTTAATACTTACAACTGAATTTTAAGGTTTTAACATATCTTACAGAGCCGAAGGAGGCGGCGAAACGAGTTTTCTTTACACCTAGCAAAAGAATGACAGGTGACATTAGAGTACACGTGCACGATGATTATAGCGCCTCCTTCGGAGGGTTCCATAGTGATTGATTTGCTTTCACATTCATATAAGAGAGCATTCATTGTCTATGGTATCTTTTGTTCTAACAGACAATAAGACAATTGTATAAGTAAATTGTTAAGCCAATACAGTCTTTATTACTATGACTAAGTGAAATATAATCATTTACGCTTTCCAACATTAATATATTAATCATCGGCTGTACATAGGAACACACATGGCAATGCGATTCTTAGAAATAAAACGGGCTAGTCGATAGGATATTTACTTGATCGAACACAAAAGTATAACATAAAGAAATATCTAATTTCACACAGACTTGAATGTGTAAGTAATACAGATACATACGTAGTCTGTGATATATCACATATATTTTTCTAGGCGTGCATTCTCAATATTGACTCCGAATATCAATAGCTTGACGATTGAAATCGTTTTCAAAAACTATACGTTTAATTGATCAATCTCTAACAGTGCTATTAATAAACAAGGTTTAGCGTCAGAGTAAATTTACGCTTAAATTGTAATTTAAGTATTAGTCCAAATTCATATTATACAGAGAATAAGCAAACCTACTGCCTTCTAGGAGTAAAAATCACTCTCGAACTAGGTTAACCTTTGCTCAGTCTCTGTTTAATAATATGAATTTTGACTAATACTAAGTGCAATCTAAGCGTTAATATACTCCAACGCTAAACCTTGTTTATCTTACTCTCGAATTTGGATAAATTGCGATCGGTCTGCCGAAACTGCATTGCCCTGCAGTTGTCAGTAATTAATGCTTTTAAATAATAATTAACCTCCAATAAAGAGTAGATAGGACAATTCATTTTGTATCTATATTTTTTATATATAGTAGTAATTCTACTATAATATTGTAAAAGTAATTATTTATAGTTTAGATAGTAGATCGACTCTTTTATGTGTATGACATTAAGAGTATAAGGTATTTGGTTGCGGAAGGTATAAAAATAATATTACCTAAATTAAACAACAAATGTCTGTCCATTACAAATCAGATTCTAGCGAAACATTAAAATCAATATACAAAAGCAAATATCTGATTTGAAAACCTGCCTTATCAACTAGACCGTTTAAATTCTATTAACAAATAAACTAATCGGCCAGAACCGACTCTCTTAGCACTTTTTCTCTTTGATAAAATTATTTACAGCCAATAAGTACACTCATGTCATTGCATCACAAAGTATGGACGTACCAGAGCTCACACAGTAGCAAACTGTTGCCAGAATTCCACATAGAAAACGTGTTGCGTTAGGATAGAACATACTTTTATAACGGAACGACATCACGCTGGACTAGTATGTTCATTGCTGTAAATCTGACCTTTGACCGACCTGATTTGACCGGCTTGAAAGTAAACTGCGCAGTTAACATAAATAGGTATCGAAGGAGGTGAAGAGTTCGGGGGGGGGGGGGGGGGGTTAATTAATCGTAGCAACAGGGTCTAGTGTCATCCCACGCTTTCCTTACTTATTCATTTCATGTCATTTGCAAATGCATTTTTTTCATTGATAAGTACACTCAAGATATAAAGTGATTTATTATTTATTATAATTTATGAATTATGACCAGTGGTCGGAATTAGGTAGAGTTATTCATGTACTGTACTGATTTCATACAGCGAAAGAATAAAGTGGATATGCCTCAAATCCCGAGAATAATTTTAAAGAGCAGAAAAAATCCCGTGATTTTTTAAATAAAAATTTATTTACTTTTACACAATTTAAACTACTGCACGCAAGACGTTGCCAAACTTACATCAATGACATCGGATGTCCAAAGTTGCAAAATACCAATACGCGCGATGTTGCCACGAAGGTCCACATTAATATCAACATTTCGATGCAAGTACATAAATAACTCTACCTAATTCCGACCTCTGATTATGACTGAATTTTTTTTTTGGCTTTGGATTTTAAATCACACTCAAGTGTTATATTCGATTAAACGATATCAAAAATAATATACTTTTGATACCTATGCGGGGGGAGGGGGAGGGGGTGTGTGCTTAATGCAATTGCAAAGGAAAGGGACCATAGTATAATTCTGTCCTTTATTGTGTAGACAGATAAATATTATATAGCAATCTTCTCTCTCGTTCTAAATGAGGGATTTTCTGTTTATATATCTTTCTTCCCCTCGTACACTTTAAAAAGTAACACGTCTTAAAGTCAAAGTCACTTTTCATCTGATTCAAAAATATTGCTTCGAATGTTCAGTATCGTATTGATCATTGACATAAATAAGTTTCAATTTAACTCAACTTGTTTCAACAGATGCATTGCATTTTATAAGTATGTTCCAGCCTTATATTGCTTTTACGTTGGACACATCTAAAAATATTTATTTACTTTTGAACTCTTGTATTATAAGTCACTTTATTCATTTATATTCTGATACGATAAAACTTTATATAAAAAAAATACTGCAATCCGTTTTCTATGCTACCATATCTTAAACACTAGTAATTCTAGCTTATCTACCTATCACAATATTAAAATATGCAATCTGTTCAGTTCGCTCTAACATGTAATATGACTAATGGAATTATTGTACGTAATTGTAGTTTACATCCTGTTGTATATGGTAATACATCTCGTTCATTTCGTATGGGCCGATGGCGCTGAAATTTAAAAAAAATATGTTATAATATAACGCAAATGACAGCTCGCATTCATTCTGACAGCACACGTTCATCGTTCATTTGTTATAACTAAACGGACCTGACAGTTCACGTTATGTTGTCTACGTCTATGGTTTGGCTAAGTTCCTTCGCCTGTCCCAGTGGACAAACTAACTACTACTGTCTATGGTTTGTTTTAAATTATCGCTAAGTTGACTAGTACTAATAATTAAAACTAGTGGTCGCTCAGTGGTCGAAATTCAACCATAATAAATTTCAATTAGAAGTTATTACTGAAATCGAAAATCTTTTGACATTCAGTAAGACCACAGAAAACATAACAAACATATAAATAGATGTCTTTGATAAACATATAAAACTTGACACTGGCTTAATGCACAAACCGTGCGAAGTCAATATTCAAAAGAAACAAACAAACTCTATGTCAAAAGAAACAATTTGACCACAGAGTACATGTATGCGTGTAGCAAATACTCGCTACACGCATTCAAATGCATAGTAGTGGGTGTAATGTTTTATTTATCGATTTAATGTACTTTATACGTATTATCATTGAAAAATATTAGCCATTTGCACTTTTCCTACATATAAACTATAAGTGTGCCAAACTCCTCCGTCCTCGCAATTTTCGTAAAAAGGGGTCCAAAGTTTTTGCTTTACGCAGATTAAACTTAGATTTTTTTTTTATTAATGTCAAAATCCTAAATATAGTAATTTATTGACTGTCAGGCGGATCAAAGTTCGCTAGTAAAAGATAAAAGACATTGCTGAGTTTAATTTTATCTATAAAAACATCTACGATCTTAACTGCCCTAGCTGGCATTCGAAAGCTTATAGCAACATCAAAAACTGAACTAAAATAAGTATCATTGACTCAACAACTAGCATTGAATATGTTGAAAATGAAAAATACAAAAATGTTAATTTGACACTAAAGATTAGAACGTAGAGACAGCGTCAAAAAAGATGTCAAATACCGAATTTCAACTTTATATCTAAGCAATCAAAGTTGCATATTGATCTAACTATGCAAAGTTAGATCAATATGCAACTTTGATTGCTTAGAATAGCTTGGCATAATTTCTTCAAATTTATCTACATATAACTTGTTTTAACTCGATTCAAGTTGTATACGGTCGCATAGTGTTTATCGAGTAGAATCATGTTGATATTTAGTAGACCAAATTGAAAAAAAAAAGTATATTTGATTACCTAGATATAATTTACCAGGGGGTCATTCATAATCTACGTCGTACATTCATAACGGTCGGGGGCTCAGCAAAGTATTAATTAGAACAATTAATAATTAATTAAATGAAATCATTTTAAATCATTATATTGGATCAATTTTGCATTCACATTACTATACTGAAAATTATTATTAATGAAAAATTGTTAAAAAATCCACCTTGTCCATGGCACGTTGAGATGAGACTTGTGTTAAGGTTAAGATGTCGATTGACTTTTTTAATTAGGAGTATAACTATCTATTTTGATGGCACAAATTTCTGTTACTCACTTGTCGCCATACGGCCCATACAGAAACGTCGGCTATGATGTGGTTTCGGGGGTGGCTATTCTTGCAGCGGACGTCGTATAAAATAAAACGCATGGAGTTTTCCACCACGAACCAAAGTGTATCACTTCTTCTGCACTCACGGGAACGATACTTAAATTAAACAAAATATCATAATTGAACAAAAGCAGTTGTTGAAGTTGGAAATATACGCCAGCAGTTGTTTAACAAGAGACAGTCATTGATAGAAATGTTTAGTGTAATTTGCAGTCAACAATATTAAAGGTTATAATAATATGGATACGCCCCTGTGATATTAGGATCATCCTTTTTATAAAATGCAGCTCTTAAGCTCGATCAGCAGAGCGATTTCGTAAAAATCCGAACCCGAATTCGAATTCACTCAAGTGTCGGAATTCACTTCGAATGCGACATCCGCTCAACCTTGAATTGATATTAACGTTTCGTGGCATAAGTTAAGTGAGTTTCGAAATGCCGTAGGGATAGAATATGTGATACACGTATGAATCAATCAATCTTATTTTGTAAATTTATAGAAAAAAACGGAACCAATAGAATTTCGGAAATAATTTCGGTTCTGATCAAAAATAAAATATAAAACGATTTGCAGTTTCTGGCCAAAATCGGTTAATTTCGCTCACATCACATTATGTTTTCAGCGCAAAAACAAAATTAGGAGATTAAACGTAGCCTGAAAATTCAAAAATATGAGGAGATTGACCATAATCAAAAACCAATTGACCATAGGCAAAACCGACAACCTATAGTGAATATTACTATGTCATACTTCAACCTGTAGTCTTATTTTCATATGTTGATAAGAACAATACTTTACCTTAAATCGTTGAAAAGATGCCACTGAACATCTTCTTTACTCGTCTGTACGTAAGCGACCAAATTCTTAGGATTGTCTTCCACGCAAACTATAGCCGCTGATAATGTATATTCTTCTTCCGATTGTGTAGTGATGTGTTTCTTCCTGTGTTTGCTCTCCACTCGATTGCTAGATGAGTGAGCTTCTGCGGAAGACTGTTCCGACTAGAAAACAAATAATTAATGTCATTTTGATTAATGTAATGTGATATTATTGTTACGGAGCGCAACGGCATGATGTTTCCTCTGCTAGTTACTAACTCGCGCTAATACTATAGAAACTACGCGTGTAAATATACGACGAGACAGTGATATTCACTGGGAAAGAAAGGGACGGCTAGCTATTTTGGAGCTTTTTAGTAATGCAGCGAATTATTTCCGCGTATGAGTTAATTAGTCCGTTTTCTACATTATATCAACCTGGGATGAAAATATAAAAAAGATTTTTTTTAATCATATACCTTGTCGTTAATGATAATGTCACCATCAGATTGCAATCGTATGAGCAGCTGATGCGGCAGTACACAATGTGGATCTTGTGGAGAATTCTTTGATGACGACGCTTGTGAGGAAGACGGTCTGCAAAACAAAAACCATAAAGATTTTCCTTATAAACCAACCGCAAATGTCATATATTTAGTTATAGATCTTGATTTCCTTTACGGATATAAATGTATATAATGTTTGATTGTCCTGTTTTAGTTTCTAATATTGTGTAAAATCCAAATTGTAAAATTTTGTGTATGCATGATGCTATGCTGCTATGCTATGCTATGAATTTATCTATCTATCTATCTATCTATATCTGTGCAGTGTTAGCCGTAGGGCTGGTTATATCATAATTTATTTAAAATGTGTATAAGGAATCGTATTAATATTTCATAAACAAAGTAGGCCCCTGATTTATTTTTATCGATCTCAAAATAATAGACTATGACAAAATATAGAAATTAAATTCGTGTACGTAGCCAGACATTGTGAACAACGTGATTAATCTCGAATACTGTTTGAAAAAAAAAAACTAATTCCTAAACATATTATATAAGACAAAATATTGTACTGATAAATAAAACACCGTTCACACCAATAAAAAAAAATATAAAGAATCTTACCAAATGTTGAAAATCAGCATTCTTACAAAAAGAACTGTTAGTTTTTTTTTTTTAATAGGGATGATGACTGGATAAAAAAAGAAATTCTATCTAGTTAGTCAGCCAGAAAATAGATTTTTTTTATTTTCCAGTTTTTTTTTTCTTGAATTTAAAAAGAAATGGCTTTGATAATATACATTAAAGTTGAAGATTGGGAGACAAAAAAATTAGTCATCATCCCCATTGTACAATTTCTACCTTATTCCAATTTAATACAGTCGCCTGCATCTGCTGTCGATATATATAGTTTACCTGTCTGGATGTTTGAATCTGCAACCTGGACGAGCGCAGTGTAACCCATACCGGCAAGGTTTACCGCTACCGCCCCGCTTCGCTACATCAGGCTAAAAAACACCAGCTATCAGTATCGACTGAAGATTCCTTTGACTATGTCCAAAATTGTGATATATATCCAATCATTTGTAGGTTATTTACCATTTCCTTTTGTGCTCCTTTCACCCAGTAAGCCTTCTCGTGTGGACCGCCGCAGTTTATAGCAAGAATTGGCGGCAACCTTAGACAATAGACCATTTGAAATTTAATCAAATATAATATTTTTTTAAGTTTATTTTCGTAATACAAATTTATAAAAATAAAATTTCTGCCGTATAAGGTTTCTGGACGGAATTTGAATCCGTGACAATTAACTACCGTTAGGTCATTATTATACATTTCTCAGTATCAACTTCAAAGTAACCTTGTAATGTAGTAAACCTATAACAATTTTTTTTTTTCAAAGTGACAGCAATAGCAAATGACATGGCCGGAATTTTTCTTGAAATGTGCCCCAAAAAATATATATAGTTACTGTGGATTACAGCTAATAAGTATGTCTTTGAAAAATCACAAATTATATAACTGAAAAAGAATGGAAAAGCACTATAACGATGTTACAAAAATTAATCATTCGGATATTTTAAGAAGCAATTTTTTATTATTGTAATTTATAAATAAAGAAATAAAACAAAATTATTAATTTTCAATTTCGCTAATGTTATAATTTAAATATAAATATATTATTAATTTCTTACCTGACAATCCTGCCTCTTTGCGTGGTAGGTGTGAATCTGGAACAGTTTTCGCACCAAGCGGGCGTACTTCTCCTAGCTGCTAGAGAAGCGCGAACTAATTCTACGAAGCCACCTCGCGCTTCACTACCCTCCCTAGGGGCACCGGTCGGATACTGAAGCGCGCATGCTAACACGACAGAATCGCGTTCTTCCTGATAAAATACGTTAAAATATTTTTATATACCTACTAATTTTCCGCTAGCGACATCACCCGCGTGGATCAACGGTTTTATATTTTTATTTAATGAATATACATCAAATCTATCACAGTTAAAATTTAAAAATAAATTTTATCTTCAAATTTCCCGCGAAAACGCCACTTATGTAATGGCGTCACTATAACGTCACGGCACTCTGACGCAACATTCGTTCAAAATGGTTTGTGTTCGTTCAGTTGATCCCGTTCAAATTACATTAGGATGACGTCATCAGCGTTATCGTGTCGAGTTCACGTGACGACGGCGAAAGTGCTTTGTGCTACGAACTAATGTAATCCTATCGGCGACTCGATACGTTTACGTTACGAATACTTTACAAGTTCGTGCTCGCCCGACTGAAACGAATATCGTTCTATGTATGCATAAGGTTGAATTCTCTAAGGTCTGATATCTAAGAGGGTCTTGACGTCGCGCTGTATGCGATCACGTGACAACGAACATAAAATATTTGTTTTTACATCATTCATTAAAGCAATATTATAAATATAATATGAATACAAGTATGATTATCGGTAAAAGTATATTAAACACTACTAGATAAAAAAATAATGTATTTAATTTTCGTTTACTGCCGCACACCATACTCGTTAGAATTCTAATGTCACCTGTTTTTGCGATTCATTTGCGAGGCACAAAAATATCACTTCTACCGCCACTTTCGACTAACATTGATCTGTTATTGGCCCTACTATATTGTCGTGATAATTCCAATCTATATGCCGATTATCATTAGGGTGACCACCTAGATCCCATAGAAAAATATTTCCTGTCTAATGTCATGCTTATGGGGCCGTTTAAAACGGTATATAAATTGTCATCTGAAGTAACTCACATATCAGCAAACAGTTTTTTTTTTATTGATATACAGATAAGTTGTAAGAATAAAAGTAATTATTTTTTCCTTACATTACCTGTTATATTTATATATTCTCAGTCATCTAAAAAGGATAATTCATTCCTTTAATTTTCATTGCATAATACAAAGATAGATACTGTTTATTTAGATAATAATAATAAAGTTGGTAGTTTTGTTCTCAATCTTATTGGGAAATAAATAAAGTTCAATTATTTAAAATAAATATGTATATGAAATTCTTACCTCTTTGTTGCACTTTAGACATCTATTCAATTGATTTCGACCAATCGCAAACAATCTTGATATCTCAGATTCTTCTCTTTCCGAGTGGTTGTTCTGTAACTCGTGATTTTCATTGTTTACCGCTGCTGGTTCAGCATCGCCAACTCCTGTGAAATCACATAATACTTCACAGTATAACATAAAAATTCAAAACGCAACAATGAGTTGTACTCATTTACAATAAAATTTACATGACTATAGCTAAGTACGTATTCGCTTTCAAGAAATGGGTCATTCTATTGCGTAATAAAATCTCCTCTGCCATTAGCATTAAAGTTACCTTCTTTTAAACAATAAATCACTAGTTAGTACGATGTTGTTCGACAGAAATAACTGCATTATATTGTGTTGATCTGAATTATAGGATATAATATAGTAACACCTACCAACAAACTCTGGAAGTCCAAGTACTGCTGCATGCAAAAATAACTATGCCATAAATATGTAATTTAAAACATAATGTAAACAGTGTTGCATATATTTGAACTTAGTTGTAAATACATGCTTAATAAGTCCTACCCGTCTGTTTCGAAATGGCCGTCGACGACCGTTACTAAATGACGTCATAAGTACGGTCGGCCAAGAAAGTGGTCTACCAGTTTTGACAACATTTCCCGTGTCTTTAAAGCATCGCTAAAGGCGAATCTTAGAATTGCATACAAACAATAAAAGAGATGCACAATGCTGACGTGTTGTCGTAGAGCACAAATGTTATTTTGACCTTTGCAGCCTATGCATTAGATAATAATTTGCAACAACAAATAGTCTCCACAATATTTCATAAATTTAAAATTTAAGTAGGTCACTTCAGAGTGGAAACTATTTTGTTACGAAAACTCTTTTACTGAAAAAGAATATATCACTTGACAATTCATGTCAAATATTTTCTCGGCATTTTCCGTAGGTATTTTCCTAATTAATTTACACTACAATGCCCCGAAATTTATCCATTAACGAAAGAGCACAAATAATCGCATTACACAATGATGGTTTGAATATTAGTGAGATTTCTAGAGAATTAAATGTGTCGGTAAGTATTATTATGTCTGACGTGAGTTTAATGTAAAATCTCAGACCAAGTCCGAGTGTATTTTTTTTTTTTTTCTGTTCATATTTTATTTTTGATTATAGAGACAAGCTGTCCGTCTTTGGATAAGATGAGAAAGCGAGGAGGGGAATTTGAACGCTCGGAGTCGTAACGGTCGTAGACCTGAAATATCAGATACTCAGCGAGTCGTCATGAGACGGAGTTATGAGGAATCTGGCTTTATACCAACGCGTTATTTTGCCGACATATTTGACGTGACTCTCCAAACCATTAGAAACCATTTACATTACATGGGCTTACATCACAGGCGTTATGCAAAGAAAATTTATATGACTTACGCTCATAGAATGGCCAGATCACATTTCGCCATAGAATATTTGGATTTTGATTGGAGTAACACTGTTTTCTGTGACGAGAAAACTTTTAAATCCAGTCAACACGGGCGTCTACACCTTTGGCGATTCAATAAAACGCGATACACGCAAAATCATGTCGTGCCAAATAGAGAATCGGGTCGTATCCTGGTAAATTTGTATAGATGGATGACTGCTGATGGTGTTGGAGACTTGACCTTTTTGCCACCACGAGCAACGGCATCAGATTATGTTAATGTTCTCCAAAATGCTATGTTGCCATCCGTCCGGAACGTTTATCCAGAAAATGAAATGCGTCAATTTAATTATTTACGGGATAACTGTCCCTTACATAAAGCAAGGGTAACACGTGCTTGGTTTGATGCACATCCGGAAATAAACTTGACACCGTGGCCTGCAAAATCGCCAGATCTCAACCCTATCGAAAATATGTGGGGTCTTATGGTTCAGAGATGGTGTAACCGTAATGAACGAACAGCAGAAGCACTACAAGGGCACTGCAATGAGGTTTGGGAGGAAACACGTGGGTCTGATATCTGCTCAAGACTGGTGGGCTCGATGAGGGAACGTCTCCAAGCTGTTATAGAGGCAGATGGCGGCTACACAAGATTATAATTTTATAATTTTAATTTTAGAATTATAATTTTATAAAAGAATTGTATATATTTTTTATCAACCAAAGAATTAGCATTTTCACTATCTCTTCTAGTTTTAGCCCTTGTCTCGCACTAAGCTATGGGTCGGCGCAATATGTTTTTCGTCGCTATTCATTTCTGTTATCCGTTATCTCAGTATATTCAGACCTATAACACGCATAGCTTCTTACGCATAGCATTTCGCTACCTACTGATTTTTTTTATTTGTATTAAAATATAATTAATCTACATTCTAATGTAGGATATTTGTAGACTATAAGACTTTATTTACGATATTCTAACTCTAAAGTATTTAAACATACAAACAGACAGACAGAAAAAAAAATATTTTTGGCTTCTATTAGTCTTATGAAGGCCGTCCATATATTTTTTTTCCAAAATATCTTACAAATGTAACCTTGTTACATTTTTATTATAGGTATAGATAATTACTGTCAAAGGTTACGTCAAAATGATGAAGATAGCTATAATGACGTGTACTTGACGTGTCAAAAATATAAATGCTACGGAAAATCAACCTTGTTGTTAGTTGACGTAACACGCGAAATTCAACCTTAGGGTGGTAGACCATTCTTGGCCGACTGTTCATCAACTGGTACCGTCGACATAAAAATAATGATTGTTTTAATTGGGCGTACGACGTATGCAATGGGGGGGAGGGAGGGAAGAGTGGTTAACTCTAAGTAATAATATAATACACTAGCTATTTTCCCGCGACTTCGCCCGCGAAAACTATAGCCTATATCACCCGAATATAATATAGCTTCAAATAAGTGAAATAATTTTTAAGATCGGATCAGTATTTTACCTCTTTATAATATTTGTATAGATGCCGTAGCCAGACGGCAGACAAAGGCGTGACGTTTCAACTCAATGTATTTTATTGATTACGAACAAAATTTAAAAATACGACTTTAATAATCTTCTATGATCTGCCGGACGGTCATATAAATCCAATGTAAACTGTATTTCCAGTTATGCAGCTTTCAGTTTTTTAATTTTAAAAATAAGTTGAATTTAGATAGCAACTTACAAGCAACATAATATTGTTATATGAATACGTAACAACGTGTTTGGTATATTTATTATTATACAGCTTTATTTTTATATAAACTTACCTTCTTCTTTTACTGGCCAGCCATCTTCCCTTGTCTCCTCCTGTTCGAACTCGGTTGAGGGGCCAAGAAACTCTATTTCAGTATACTGATACTCATCGGAGAACTGGCCATTCACATTCGGTGTTGCCAAGCTCCTGCCAGGATGTTTAGTGTTGCTAGCTCGCGCTTTCGGCGGACTATTTTGAGCAATAAGCGCCATTTCTTTCTCCTTCTTTCGTGTTTCTAATATCTCGTAGTGGATTTGATGCAGTATAAAACGATTCCAACTCTGTTTAAGATAAGTTGGAACACGTTATATAAGAATAACAAGGTGAACTTGTATTTTATAAAATTATAAATAAGATAAAACATAAGGTATTGTTTCGACCTGTATTAGTTAATAGTCAAATAAATAAAGGTATCGATAGTTTGTATAATATTTTTGGTATAGTATTAATAAATATAAATATTAAACAACATCAAACATATTGTTCAGATCCAAAATCAAAATATCTTTTAGGACTCGTATTATGGAAATCTGAAACAACGACGGCAACACAAAACCCAAACCCGAGACAATACAGAACATTCTCCCACATCGACCCGACTGGGAGCAGAGCCCAGAACCTCAGAGACAAAACCGGCGTCCGAGCCTATGTAATTTTTAACGTACTTTTTTTCTCATTTTTCGTATAGAACACGTTAGTGGTTACGTTAGAACTGAGATCGAAAATCTTCTAATTATTTTTCTCAGTGCCGTTACGTATTACTTCAACAAACTTTATAGTTAGTTGCTTTATGATCAACACTTTTTATCTGATTCGCACTGTACTCCGTATATTATTGCTTTTTTTGCATAGGTTTTTTACTATATCTATTTGCCTAATAACGGTATTTTTCCTTTCTATATACATATACGTATTTAAAATTTATATTACTAGCCATTTCCGGCGTCTTTACCCGCAAAAATAAAGCCTCACCCGCGTATGATGTACCTTCTTGTAGGTGAAAGAATTTTGATGATCGGATCAGCATCTCTGAATATTACAAACGAACTAAGAAAATTTACCGCTTTATAATTATCACCACCCTTTTACATGTACACTGAAGGGGCTCAGGACTTACTTATGGATAGTTAAGAAGGAATGGCCGTAACCCTCCACGCTGGCCCAATGCCGTTTAGAGGGTATTAACCACTGCAAACGCAGCCGGGCTTAATGTGCCTTCCGAAGCACAGAGTATATCGAGATAATAATTTTTGGTCACCCATCCGGTAACCGACCTTGCAAACGTTGCTTAACAATGATCGCGTGCCGCGACGCTAGTAAGTTACTGCTCTTTACAATATTAATAAAGAAATATATTTTACCTGTATAAGTGCGATCAAATCTACTCTAGCATCAGACCCACGCTCTGGTAATATTAGTCCTAAGGCCGCCGCTTCGGGAACAGTTCGAAAGGCACGAAGAAAATTGACAGCCTGACATGGCGCCCCACCTGAAGTATCCAGCATCCGAAATAGGAAACCTAACAGGATTTTTAAAAGGGCGAAATACTGCATTACATTTAATTTTGCATCTTTAAAGAACATTAGAAATACACAAGTCTAAGATACGATTATAAAAAATGAGGGGATCCTCATCTGGTTATTGATTGTGAGATGGTAACTATATTAGATAACATGTAGATATATTAATAATTTAGAACAGGGTTGCCAAGCTAAATTAGGGGCTATCATTGTAATGTCTAGTGTGCGCCATTTTATAATAATAAATAAATATATTAAACATCACATGCATTACTCAGATTCCAAGAGTAGCTAAAACCCCCGTATTATGGAGTGTTGAGACAAAAGGTTCCACAATACCCAGACTCGATCCCCGACCGGGAATCGAACCCGGGGGCTTAGAGGTGTCACCTTGAAATTGGCGTGCGAACCACTCGGCTACGGACATAGGAAGGCTCCCGGTGAAGACGGAATCACTTCTGAGCTCCTTAAGATAGCAAGGGTATCTGTGCTTAGAGAACTAAGGAAAGCTATTTAATTCCGTCATAACTAACCCTGTCATGACTACCCTGGAGCAGAGGTGTGATGGCTGTTTTTGAACGAGATAAATGACTCTTGAGGAGCTACAAATCGATCATAAATCTGAGTCACATCTTAAAGTTGTTCTCGAGAGTCGTTACAAATCGTCTTGCAGCCAACCATCAGAACAGGCTGGATTTCGGAAAGGCTACATGTACCGTAGAACACATACATACAGTAAGGCAAGTTATACAGAAGTCTGAAGAGTATAACCAACCGCTATGCACAGCTTTTGTGGACTACAACAAAACTTTAGACTCCATCGCGACCTGGGCTGTTCTGGAATCCCTGCAGCGATGCCAAGTCGATTAATGTCAAAGATATACGTAGATATACTATCAAAGATATACGTAGAGCTGCGGTTAGGTAGAGACGACTCCGAGCGAGAAATCAGCAAGAAAGTGCAGCTGGGCTGGGCAGCATTTAGGAAGCTGCCTAATATATTTTCGTCCACTCTGCCACAATGCTTGAAAACCCAGGTATTCAATCAAAGCGTCCTACCAGTCAGGATCTACGGTGCCTAAACGTGGAACATGATAGCGAAGCTGTCCCACCGACTACATGTCGCTCAGCTAGTTATATAAAGGTCTATGCTCAAAATTTCTCTAAGTGATAAAATCCGGAATGAGGTCATCCGGCAGAAGATTAAAGTAATGGATGTCATCCAGAAATGTAGCCAGCTGAAGTAGCAGTGGGCAGGCCACATCTGTCGTAGAACTGACTAGAGATGAAGTAGACGGGTTTTCGGCAAACCGGAGGTGCCTCGGCAAGATTTGCCGGCGCCTCGGCAAGATAGACTGACGTGCTTAGAAAGGTGGCCGGCAGTTGCTGGATGAAGACAGCGGAAGATCATGTTTAGTGGAGTTCTATGGGGGAGGCCTTATCTAGCAGTTACTGCAACAGGCTGATATAATGACGATGATAATATAAAAACGGAACTTTATTTTACAGTGATGACTTCCGATTTAGCTAGGCAACCCGTTTTTAAATTATCAATCTACATGTAAATTAACATAAACTTTGTGACACTAACAATCAAATAACAGGTAAGGGATTTTTTTCATATATACCGTATATCTTAAATTAAGCACAGAAAGAATTTCGTACAACGACTCGGCACTACATATTATCTGTTTCGCTTGTGAGCAAACATATTGCTATTGCGCTCGCACACATGCATCTGACCAATTTTATCATATTAAAGTGAACCTAAAAGGTTATCTATTAGTAGGCACAAAGCTTACGTACGAAATTCTTCCTATTCGGTGACCAGGCTTTATACAGATATTTTAACAAAACAAACATATGTGACATTTACAAAAACAACGTACAGGTAAATTTCTAATCCTATTAACTTCCGTTAATGCTACTTATAATGTACTCCGTTAATGCTACTTATAATGTACTAACAGTTCGGGAGGCAACGAATGTGATTAAATAACGTCACATGCACTTAAACTGGTACCGTCGACACATTAATTTCTATTAATTTTAATCGTCTTTACTTTCCAATAATTACAGAGTTGCGAGTTGATATTATTTACGTAAAGATCATGAAACTTAATAAAAAAAAACTATTTAACATAATAAAAGCAACATTCATAAAAAAAATATATTGCGATGTCGTTGCTAGCGGTACTCGTTTAGTGGAAGTGGTATTCGAAATGATGTAACACTTTATTTTACGAAAGACAATATTTTTCGACAGACGGAGATAAAGGCAACTTTTAGTAAAGATAAAATAATAAAAATAAAATTACCTAATTCACAGCTAAGACAAAATTCTTTGGCACAAGTGTGTGCTAGCAATGTCGATTTCACCGGAGGTGTATAATATAGAACCTGAAAAAATGTGATATCTATTTATTTCGAAAAATTTTGAAAATTTTGCTTTTAAAACTACAAAGTGTGTATACTGAACATAATAAAGCGTTACAGTAACATCCAACGGCTAAATGGCGAATAGCGAGTTTTTTGCAGAGCAGATTTACTAATAGGAGGGAATATTACGCAAAGCTCGGAATAGTTAGCAGCACTAGCATATGTAGTAAACAAAAAATAATTCGAACGTTTTTTTCTTTTACAAATTAATGATTATCTTCCTTATTCTATTCAAATATGCAGCATAGATGTATTCACCGCCATAAGCCTATTAATATCTCCATGGGTGGGGTTCAGGTCTTCCCTATTGTTGGAACAGAAACGAAGAGGGAGAATGGGCCATGACCCACCAAGCAGGCTCAGTGCGGATTGTTGGGTATTAACGACTGCAGATGCAGCCAGGACAAACATGTCCACGTGCCTTCCGAAGCTAATCGAGGTCCAAAGATGTATTACTGGACAAAATTACACTTTCCTAATTATAAATTCAATTATATTATTCCCACTATTACTTTACTCTTGGTCACTGCTCCGTGAATGACCATTTATATTTATAAAAATAGTTTACTACGCGTATTAATGCTGCAATCTACAACAGAAAGTTGCTTTAAAATTTCCTATACGACGTCCGATCGACGGAGGCCAAACGCATGATTAAAATATAAAAAGAGTGTTATTTCAATAATCATAAGATGTAGAATACAACAGATTGGGCGTTACGCTCGCACCATTCGAGAAATGTATTATAGATCGACTAACCTGGAGCATGGGATTGCAATAAGCATTAGGAATCGTAGACTCTAATCCTGGAAAACCAGTTTTATTGCAATTCTCCAAATCAACATCGTTCGGTCCATGTTTGTTATATCGCAAATCCATCTAAAATCAATGACAACACAGTTGATTTTCGACTAACACGAACAACTATCATCAAGAATATTTATCTACCTTCTGATAGTATTTAGGAATAGGCTGTGGGCTGTATCTGTTTTCAATTTGTTTCGCCGCATTCAAATCTTCCAATGTATCTTCTACGTATGGGATCTAAAAGCAAATATATCATTTATAGATATGATTAATTCATTCAATTAAATCTACAAAGAAAAGTCTAACATTGTGGATGTAAAAATTTATAATATCGACATAATACTTACCACAAGCAAATAAAGTGTAACCTTATCGATTTTAGAATTTTTACTAAAACTTGATCAAGCAAGATACCTGATTCCTTCTGGAGTTTCTGGGATTAGGAGCATACCCAATAGGTCCTTGCATTTTCATCGTTTTCAAAACTTCAGGGTCGATAGGCTTGGGTTTCCTAAAAAAAAATCAATCATATAATATCAAAGCTGTAGTATCTATACATCTTCTTGCAATACCCCTAGCGGGGTAAGCAAACAAGACGACTAAATGTGGCAATTCAACAATAAATTGTGAAACATGTGTAAACAATAACTACATAGTATTATGTAGTATTGTTAAGTAAAAGTTTAGATATATTTTATTTTAAAATGACGACATTATTAAGATATAAACTAACCTGAAAGTTTTCTTGAAGAATTCTGGTGGCAATTCATTGAACCACTTAGAGCCAGAACTCAAAGGCGGCAGAGGTACAGTTGAAAACTGGAATGTGGTCTCTTTGAAACCGACGAATGGCAAACCTACTACTTGATCTGCGAATTCTGTTGCTCTGAAATTCCGATACATACTCGTAAGTGCTCGTCCATGATTATGCGCGGAACAGTGCGACGGCGATTACGAAATATCAAAAAACTGTTTTAAATAAATCATGAAGGATGCCATTTAAAAAAAATCCTATGCTGTGGTTATATTTCTACGGACAAATAAATTATATAACCCTTGCAACCCGTAAAGCATTCAGTAAACCTTCGACACCATTTTACTATTTCGATTTGCACATTTCTCGCGCTTCTATTAATGATGTTTCGTTTGATGTGAGACACTTTGTGAGAAAGAACGAAACGCAATTTATAAATTTAAAAAAAATCCTTTTTAACCAAGTACTGACGGTCACAATCCAGCTCAGATTTATACTACAAATATTGATTTTAATAAGTTGAAAACCTTTTTTATGCCAACACAATTTTATTTCTATCTGATTGTCGTCCGATCCTTTATTATAATGTTCTAATCATAATTAAGTTTAAAGCACGGTCGCCGAACAGGAAGAATTTCGTACGTTGACCTTTAGGCCTACTAATAGATATCGTAAACAATTTAGGTTCACTTTACCCTGACAAAATTTGCCTAGATGCATCTGTACGAGCGCAATAGAGATATTTTTAGGCAAGACTGAAAGAGATACATAGCGCCGGGTCACTGTGCGATAATGTTTCTGTTCGGCGACCGTGCTAAACATTGATGAAATTGAAATAATCCCCACTCTTGAACTTACCTATTTAATAATAAAAATATATTATTTCATATATGAATAATAATATTAAATATTTAAAAAAATAGTTATGTGTATGAATATTTATAAAAAGATAGATCACCTTGAGAAATTATTAAAAACAGGCTCGTGGTTATGCTGTGGCGAAAACAAGTGAAGGTGGCCAGTTAAGTCGCCGAACACAAGTGCTTGACTAGTAGAAGACACGTCCATCACACTCACTGACAACGAGCTCTGTGTGCCAATCTGCACGAAAAGAATTAATACTATTGCAATGTCAAACTTTCATTTGTTTTTAACTCTCAATAGATGGCGCTAATCTAAAGTAGAGACTAAAATCTACGATAGTTGCTAAGAAATAATTCAAACTTTCAATTTCCTAAGAAAGTAATGCGATATGAAGGTAAAATAACAATTAAAAGGGAAACAACTAGATCACTGATGTAGTTATAATATGAAGGCACACTCTTGCTATAGATATACAGTTCAAAATTGAATAGCAAGCTAGAGCATTTCACTAAAATTACGGAGGTCTTACTGAGGCGTGATATTAATTATTTGTTAGAACAGCATTGAACTGTATTACTGTTGGATTAGAGTTCTTATTAACTTTAAAAAAAGAAAAAATTTGCTTCACTCAGTCAATTTATTTATATCACACATATACACCACATTCAATTTTGTATACTTATTTAATATATCAAAACATATAATTAGTGAACAGTTAATGGTAAAGTATTTTGTAATATATGAGTATTTACTATCACTATATTTTCCAATTCAATTAAAAAATTAAAATAAATTTTATATTTATGATCTATTAAACCTGTGCGAATATCATAACTTACCTGAAAAACTGACTGATTAGCCGACGGCTGGTTGACATGCAGTAAAGCTACATGACCGTCCCCAGAAACTGTGACCGCTCGCCCAGAGAATGCAGGCAAGAAATGAAGCAGCAAAGGTGGTGAAGCAGTCTGAAGTGACCACGCGCCTTCAACACCAGTGTTAGTTCCGCGAAGACAGCGAACGTCCCATACTACCACGTATGGTTCAGCTACGGCAACACCCGCTCTAAAGGAAATAGTTATTTAACATTTCCTAGAAACAGGGAACTAATTATCTAACTTTAAGAAAGTAGTTGTATAACCATTGCTTGTTTCTGAAGGTAGTTGAAAAAAAGTATTTGTATTATGCGGCAATGGTTGTGCAACACCTTTCAAACTGAAAGCGATTGCAAAAGATTTAAAATTAGACAATCTGGGGGCAGTTCCATTGCCAAAGAAGTTAGAATAATTATATTTTTATATGGTGTCGTGCATTTGATATTCCAACCATCTATTTAGTTTTATTATGTTAACTATCAAAAACGTATTAAATCTGTTAGAATAACAGGTATACACTATACACATCTATTTATCTATCTACACGCCGTATCAGAGTGACCAAACGACACAAAGTAGGGTCCTAACATACATACTCGCCGGTGTTTTTACTTCTGCCATCACCTTCTAACAGCACACGATTTATTTTAATCGTGAAAGATGTGTCGCGACCTTCCTCGGTTTCTACATCCTTCCACTTTTATGTTGTATATCATTTTAGTTATTCATTCATCCATCCGACATTCTTTCCAGATATCCAGAGTTTGTTTCTGTTGATTTTTACACCGACGCTATCTTTCTTATCTATTTATTACAAATGCGGTCTGCAAGCGTCTGCAAATTCTACGTAATGACTTCTTTTATTCTGGTGCACATCAGATGATATAATTTCATTTCAATAACGTTCATATGATATAATATAAACGTTTGATATAATAACACTTCAACTTATCACTTTTGATATTACTTTTATTTCATATAATCATCATTTGTTATAATATATACCTATCATTTGATATAACACTCATTTCATTTAAATACATTACATTTAATACTCACTTACTATAATGATCATTTGATATATTATAGTTTGATATAATCATCATTTGTTATAATTGTGAGAAGGTATTATTGGAAAATACAGTTTTTATGTTATTAATCATATTTGTGTGTGGGAATGTTTGTGGCACGCAATATTCAGTGGATTATTTAAATAAAAATAAGTGTGAAAGGTATTTAAATCTACTTAGTTTACCCCTACTCCACGTAGTCTTGTCTACCCTATCCTGAGCGCGGAAGAGCGAAGCGGCCCGCGAGATGAGGAGCAGGTGGTTTTAACGCTCGCGTGGTGGTAAGCGAAAACCATCTGCGACAATAAGCTCGTGTGGGACCGCCGGAGCCTCGCATCGCCGGAGCGGTGACAGCCATGCCATGCCGGCTAAATGCTTCTTATTTATAAAAACTAAGTAATAAATTACAACAATGTTTTAAGGTCAATTATTTTTAGGTTAAAGTGTTATATCATAGTAGATAATTTGATTATTGGGCAAAAGGTTGTTATATCACACAGATATTGTGTTTTGAGTATTATACATGATGAGTGTTACAGCAAATGTTCATTATATCAAACTTTTTATACCAAATGTTCACTATATATTTTGTTTTTTTTTATATTTTTTGTTGGTAATATCAAATTAATGTTATATGAAACTTTTTTATGTCATCTGATATTATATGTTGTGAACATTATACAATATGTTATTATATCAAACATTACACACCCCATTCATTCTACTTATATGCTCTTTCTGACATACCCAACTCTTGCTACCATACAGCATTTGGATCGGCACCACATTGTGTATAACAAGCTGCACTTTCTGGCTTAAGGTTTTGCTGCCAAGCAGTTAACATCATTAGTCTATTAATATACCCATCGCTAGAATACAGGCTTTCCTATGAATGGAATCAGATATGGAGAGTAGTGAATAACTCAATACGAGTTTCCACTGCATAATGGTGGGTATTAACATCTGCAGATGCAGCCACGATATGGCCCATACGACAATCGCTTAACCACCGCACTGCACGGCAAACGCGCTAATCTCTGCACCATCATAATGGATAAATAAATACTCACGAATCTGTAAAACCACACGAGATCAACAAGTCGCCTTGCATGTCCAAGTCTGAGAGGCATGCATTATGAGCCCGGAATGTATGTTCTGCAGCTTTCGGGGTTCTTATATCGCGTAACGCTACCATACCGTCAGCGCTACCGCACGCAACTAGCGAACCACCTCCACTACGAAGGACAGCACAACCTTCTTCTTGAATAGGCTGTAATAGTTTTTCACAAACTTTTATTCAACTTCATCTGTTTGTTTCTAAGCCAGATCAAAAAGATTAGTATTCATTTTAGGCACCATTAAATGTTGCCACTATAATAACAATAATGGACCAAATATATTACAGTGGCATATAGCAATAGGGATTTAGTAGATATTTTAATGTCTCACATAATCTCATCAGCTGCTCTATGTGGGCATACCCTTTGCATAACCCTTTACATAAAAATAAATAGATTAGATCATTTAAAATTATGATTGAACAGAGACATACTTTAAACAATTTTGATATCAAAAACATATTTTAACTGATCTAAATGATCTCACTAGATTTTTTACTGACAAGTTAGATTTATTTGAACTCAATATCATATGAATACTGCATATACCATATTAATCGAAATGCAATCAAGATATTGCAAATAAATAAAGGATACATATTGACTATAAAGGTCCAGCTTTATGTGTTGTTATAATATTAGTTTAAACTAACATGGTATGCTAATGTTTGCAATTTCAAAGAGCATAAAGGAAGTTAAAGCAAATAAACTCTCTAACAAATTTTATTTTATACTAGGTTTTATTACATCACCCTATTCATTTAAAGATATTCACTTACTAGAACTGTCTCTTTCATTTTGGATAGATCTAACTCAAGCAATTTATCTTGATGACCACCCATTAATAATTTGGTAGTGCTAACTTGGTACAAACACTGCATGTCAGTCATATTCGTTGACCTAAAAGAAATAGAAAACATTATAAAAAAGTGATAAAAATAATAAGTGAGAAAATGCAAAATTATCATTTTATTACATATTAATTTTCAACTGTAAAAATAAATTATGTGAAGTTCATACAAGATTAATAAATACTTATTACTTATATGTATTTTTAGGTATTCCTCTCCTAATCTGATGACGTAGAGCGGACTTGGTCAAAGCGTATAATCCTTGTTCAACAGTTATAATATCTCTAACCTCTTCTGACTCATGTACTTGGAAAGAAGTGTACTTTTGCATACTAGGTCCATAATATGATGTGACATGACCCTAAAGAAAAGGTTTAAATAATCTACAAAATATAATATATCCACCAAATTGCACAAATGTCCACCATGCCAATGAATGTTATAAATATTAAAATTTGTAACGGTAATGTTGCTTTAAACCCTTTTAATGAAAGTTTGCGCGACCAGTAAATAATTTTTCTTAATGAAAAATGCTTAAAAAGACTCTGTGCTGGAACTCGGACCCATGACTTTTCGCAATCCAGGCAACTGCTCTTACCACTGAGCAGTAGCTCAGCAAAGATACGTCAGTCCTGTTAGGTCATGGGTACCTAACAGGACTAACAGTTTTCAAGCAATTATGAAAATACGCTCTGAAGTAGCGAAAAAGTAACAAGTCACGGGTTCGAGTCCCATCTTAGGGACAAAGTGGAATTGTTAAGCATTTCATTAAGAATATTTTTCAGTATAGTATTGTTAATGCAAAATTGATAAAATATAATACATTTTTATTTCTTCCATTTATAACTACCACAACAAGTTAACAAAAATATACATTTCTATTAATTAAAAATAAAAAAAACAACATTTAAACACTTACACCCTGATTTCCCATCCATACCAATTCCTCAAACTTGTCAAATACAGCAGCTGTCACCCCAAACCTGTCACCACCATCCACAAGGATGCTGCTCCTGACCTCATATTCAGCATCATGATTAGGAATCAAATATTGAGGTGTATACTCAGCAGCATATGGATCTGTAATGATTTATTTTATTGGTTGAGCTGCCGTCAAATGAAGAGTGCAATAACTTGGTTTATGCTACACTTGATCTGATTGCATTTAAAGTTTTTTTTTTTGTGTATTGTTGAAAATCAAAAGAATTACTGTTATTTTAAAAAAAAAATATAAGAACAAATATAGAGCTAATTTTTCTGATCATTAATATGTACTTAAGACGGTTTGCCTAAAATTTTGAGTAGTTGAACTTATCACAAGGATGTCAAAAAAATATTCTAAAAACATTTCCTTAAAACAACATCTACCAGATTTAAATCCTTGACATAAAAAAGAAACATAAGAAAATAAAAAAAATATAGTTACTTTTTCACATGACTGTAAAACAAAAACATATGACGTTATAAATGTTATAAACGTTATGATGTTTATAAAATAATTATGAACAGATCTATGCTTGCTAAGAATGTTGTCTTTAAAAATTTTAGTTTACAAAATAAATATTATAAATATTCAAGTGTAACATTATAACATATGGTAACATATGTTGTTGTGTTAATATTTAATTTAGTTTATTTATGGTAAATAACATAGGTATGCACTGAAAACTATTAAAAATATCGATTTACTTTCGAAAATGTTTACTTACCAGCCAAGAGATGATCGTTGGCTAGACAAAGATCAGAATAATGATATTCCATAGTATTTTGCTAGATTACTTTTATTTAGAACATGAATAATATCTACCGATTAACAAGCTTCCTTAAACAATGCGTAAAGCATTAATAGTAATTATTAATATACAAAAATCGGAATCATTTTGACCAAGCTCGCTCAATGCATTATTTTATTTTCTGTCAGTTTTAGATAAAAATAATACCACGTCTTGACAGTTATTTAACCAATAAGCAACTAAAGAGCTCACGTTCACTTATCGCCTATTGGTTAAAAAAGTAACCATGTGTTGTACGGATTGGTCGATCTACTGTCAACTAAAAAGACATTTCTTTTTTTATTTTAAATTATTTTAGTTTAGAAATATCTATTTTTAAGTGTTGTAAAAATCTTCGATGGTTGTACTTTACTGTTTCACTCACTCAATATCCTACTACTAATATTATAAATGCAAAATTTTAAAAAGATGGGTACGTAACGTTTTTTAGATTTTCATTCAAATAATTACTGAACGAGTTTTATAATATTCGAATTTTATCCCAATGAAAGGTCCCTCATGGAAAAATGTATGTACACACGGCGGCATGTCAGTTAGCCACAATGTCAATTTTCAGACCATTTTAAAACTTTATAGGGCTTCAAATCATGTGAAGAATTTTTAGATATTTTAACAAATTTATTATTATTGTATTGACTGTACCATCAAGTCATCATATAACCATCATGTAACCCAGTGGTTCTAAGCCTTTTAGCCCTCAGGGACCATTTTCCATGATACCACAAACTATCGTCGCGGAATCTGCGTATATTATATGGAATAGGGTAGTTTCAAAATCGTACAAAAACTAAAAATATATTATAATAAACATAAAGGTTCTAATTTTGAGTCTTAAAATTTTGTTTGCTAGCCATTGTGTGACGTCACTGTGGCGATAGCTGTCAGATTAGTCATGAAGATATGCCTATAAATCAAATTCATACATGGCGTTGTTCTTAGCTTATTTACATCTTTTTATTTTGTAATCAATCGTTAGATGGCACTGTTTTTATTTTATTGTCATCTTTTAACATTCTACAATTCTACATTTTGCATGTGATTTGTGTACATATCACAATGACATCAGGAATATGATGGACAGCGTTTTCGCAGGTATAAAACAGTTTAAATATTGATTTAATTTAAAGCCAAGAAAACGCGTTTATTTTTGCGAAATATTTGATTTATGGCTTTTTCAAAACAAACTAGATGTCGCTATGGTACTTTCTTGATTTCTCCATGACAACCCTTCTGGTTTTCTTTCATGTATAAAAGTATATTAGTTTTAAAATTCAATAAAAATCTCATATAATATTTGTTTCGAACTTTGCAAATTTCCATTTTTTTTTAATCATTGTCAGTTAAAAGGAACGGATTTTTTTTTCAGTCCATTTGTTTCCTGCAAAAATCACCTTTTGCTAGAGTCGCCATCTAGTGGAGGTGCTTTTTGTGCTATCTTTTTTTAATACTTCATCATTAAAATAAACACTAACAGGTATTACTTCAAAAAGAAAGAATACCCTATTAGCAATCTATGTTTACTTTCTCTAAAAAAAAAAAATATTACGTAAATTTTTCGTATACATCAATATTTACATATAAATTGATTATTTTTCAATAAATTAACAAAATAAGAGTTATAAAATTATTATAACAACAAAACTCTCCTAATTTTTCTTTCCAATGTATGAAATGTATGCTTTTCATGTATGCCTATTATGATAAAAACAATATGTATTCTAATAATTAATGACATAGTAATCCAAATAATAAAGCATTTTTATTATAAAACTAGCTTCCTGTTAGCGGCTTCGCCTGTGTGGTCTTGTATTATACATATAACTCTTTCTTTTGAATCACCCTATCTATGAAAAAAAAAACTGCATCAAAATCCATAGCACAGTTTTAAAGATTTAAGCATACACAGAGAAAGCGACTTTATTTTATACTATGTAGTGATGGTTAATATACAAAATATGAAAGGAAACAGCACATTTATTATAATAAATTATATTTTAACATAGTATTAAATCAAATGTGTTATTAGTTTTTAGTTTGTAAGCGATATACATTTTTAAAATCATACCTTTGTACCATTAAATTACACAACATTGGATTTCAAACTACAAATGTTACTTTTGAAAAAGGTGAAATTGTTAGCATACTTTGCAAAGCTGCTCAAATCATATTGTCAGAATGAAAGTGGTTTTTTTTTATAAATTTACCTTATTAAGTATGCTTTCATATCCTATGAAGAAAAAGAGACCTAACTTAAAATTAAACAGGTCTATTTCATTAATCCAGAGATTTAAAGATATAGATTTCATCTTATTTCAGTTAATTTCTCATAAACTGCATATTGATCTTCATTTATTTTCATTCTAGGGTTGTAAAGTGTTGTATTCCTGTTTTTACATAATTACAGGTTTAGAACGAATAAATATAGCATAAACATTGAAATTCTAATTTACAGTAGTTGGTAGGAAGTGTTGGTAATAACTCTTTGTAAATTCGGTCATGAGATCAGGCATTGCTTCAGGAAGTGTTGTGATTAATTTTGCAGGGCTGCCAGAATATCTTGCAAATGCAGGCACAACTGTTTCAGCCGGTAACACTGAATTGTCCTCAATCATACAGCAATCTTTTAACACACATCTACGGCCCTAAAACAAGATATTTTTTATTGTAAATAGATTAATTGTAGGTACTAGAATAAGATCACAATATTTTTCTCCAAAAATACTTACAATAACTACATTTTTACCAATATAAACGTAAGATCCAACAACAGCAGCATTCACCACAGTATTTTCTCCTACAAACACATGATCGCCCATTTGAAGTGGGAAGAAAGCCACTCTGAAATTTATGACATAAGCATCAATTATACTATATTAAGGTTTACCAGAAACAAATAACATTATTATGTATGTATGAAGAGTAATGAAAGTGAATGAGCCAAATGTAGTATAAAAGAACTGTTTGTGGTGGTGTTTGGTCCTCTCTGATTACCCTGCAAGGGAAACAGCATGAAGATATAGATAGATAGAAATAAACAGTATTAGTAATATTTATGCAACATTTTATTAGTAAATCTATAATATCCTAAATATTACTTAAATTCAGAAGAAACATTCAATTTTGTCTTTGATCCATTGGTGGATATAATATCTATAACATTAAATTTAAAAAATATAGTAAATAGTCTACATTATATATAAAATCTAACCGTACCCTTTACTGAATTTTTTGAAGGGCGGTCGTATAACTGATCCTTTGCTTATGATACAGAATCTTCCGGTTTTTACGTTGGCCAAGTCTCCTCGTATTATAGCATCACTCTGGACAATAACTTTGCCATGCAAGACTATGTTTTGTGATCCACAAAGCACTGTCTGCCGACTAACTTTGTTTCCAGAAGCCTGTAATATCACAAAAAGTAAAGAAACGGCTACAATATAATATTTTTTTTATGTTTAAGAAGTTGGTAATGCATTTTCTAAAATATACCGTTTCCACATATTCAGATTTATTATAGTACGTGTCTTGTAGTTCCATTACTTCAATTAACTATATCACAGTAATTGCATAAAAATATACTTAATGCGAGTTAATTACTAATTTATATACATTAAAATCATCAAAAACTTTCACGACACAATCGGAAAATAAGCAAGCGAGAAAAAACGTCACTGTGACGTCAATGTCAGTCAGTTTGACATTATTTCAGTTCAGTGTGCTACTCCCATTTTTAAATGTTACCCTAAAACATTATTTTTAGTGAATTTCATAACAAAACGCATTATACACACATCAACATAGTCTAAGGATATTTTGTATAAAGTTCTAAATTCAAAAAATACTGGCTGGCTTTAAAATCTTTTATGAAAACTTATTTTATACGACTTTTTGATGATTCCAAATATGAATTAAAAAAATATAATTTCAAACAAATGATTTGCGCGGCATAATTCAAGCAAAGTTTGAAGTTTTCAATTTACCTACCATAGTTTTAGAAGATTTTTTTTATGTTAATCGAAAGTTTTAAAACAAGTTAGCTGTCTTATTTGAATTTGTGCTACTGTATGCATTATGTAGCGACGCCATTTAACAAGAGAAGAAATGTGAAGTATTGCTGAGGACATCGAAACAAAACAAAACGTGATATCATGATTATGGTCACGTCATCGTGCTACTGGTGAAGTGGCTGAAAGACACCTACGCATAACCACCAGCTGACTGCAGGAGCACGCGGTATCGGTCTTAGACTGGCCCGCGCAATCACCAGACCTAAACCCCGTAGAACACGCATGGGACATGCTCCAAAGAAGAGCTTTGAGGAATATACCTACAAAGATTGTCACTGAAGAGTAACTTTTTTTGCATCTTTTCAGGACCTGGGACAATAGCCCACAGCAAGACTTTGATAAATTGATTCGAAGCATGAAAAATCGTTACAGGACCGTTGTTAACGTCATGGGTGGTTTTACTGACTATTGATTTTCGTAAAATTGCAAATAACGGAATAATTTCGCTATATTTTTCACTTTTCTTGCAAAACACATTTATCGTTATTTTTACCATTATTCTACTTTTCGTCTTTACTTAAATAATTTATTTTTAGGTACAAACAAATATTTATGTTCTATTCTATAATCTACTCTAATAAATGGGATTATTAAAAATATAAACTCATATCATCAATAAAATATAAACAATAACATGCAACATGCATGTTATTCAGAAAAAAAAAATCTGAGGAAATGAAGAATAATCAAAATATCCCTAGACGATGTTGATGTGTGTAGTTTTGCATAGTTGAATCTAAGCCTATACTGGACATTGAACCTATATTGAATGACTCTGCAACGTTTTGTAAAAGGATATGAATATGGAAACTAAATTAAAGTATCAAATATTTATTTTGTTTATTACTGTTTATTAGCAGCTATTTGTATAAAAATATATAATTATTTTTTTGCCCGTCAAGAATTGACAGAAATTTAAACGCTTTTTTGTACCTTCTCATTACGCTTGATTATTAGTTCATAATTCAGTTTTACAAGTTATTTGGGTAATATTATAATAGGGCAACTCTGTATCTTTTTTTATTGCGTTAATAGCAGAAGGATCTTGTCCATGCAGCTTCTTATAAAATAATAGGTATATTTTATTATATAAGCTAAAATATTGCTGTTGCTTGGCTACAAAGCAACTCACATAATTATTTATTATTATTGTTGGTAATAGTATATTTTAGGACCAACTTTATGATCAAAGGTTTACTTTGTTGTTCGTCTGTCATTCTGTCTGTCAAAAGCCTTTATTATATTTAAAGGACGGAAAGAAAAACGAATTGAAATTAAAACCATATGTAACGCGATGATTAGCACAAAGAACTACGCACTCTTTTTTTTTAAATAGGCGGGCACCGTTTACCGCCGTCGACGGCTTTCGCTAACGCTCGAGCGCGGGAATTTTACTATAACTTCGAGCGAAAATGAGCCTTATTACACAGTTCACCGAGAACCGTCTATGGCCGCGATGCATGCGTTAACAAACCACTTTAATATTTATGTTTCCAGTACCTACTTTAGTTGATTATTATGTATTGTAAAATTGGGATAGCACGTATTAAATCGTAAAACTTGTCCAGAACTCCTTGATAAACCCCGAGATATACATAAACACCTTACACATGTAAAAATGACACTTTTAAATTATCATGAAAATACAAACGGCCATTTACGCCACAAAAAGTATATATTTTGACACGAATTTTATTGCAAAATTAAAAATAAAGATGAGAATAAAAATTCTTGATAAACTATTGAATAAACACTTTAGGTACATTTTTGTCTCTTGGGTTTATAAAAGTAGCAAAATACGTTAACACTAGCTACATTTTAGGTTTAACTGTATAGGATAAATCTCTTTGTCTTTAGTTAACATTTTAAATTATTTTGAGGGTTTGGCGGTAATCGATATAAGACGTCGTGATCGTGTCAGTTTAAAAAGTAGAAAACACTCACGAAGTATCCCAATACAGAAGGTAAGGCTGTATGGGCTAAGCTTTCTTTGATTTAAATAACGCTAGAGTTTTTTGGCGCCAACAAATATTTTACTTATTTTTTTACTTGCTCTATATATGGTTTGTCGTTAGTAAAATAATTCATAAAATTTCACTAACTGCAGAAAACTTGTTGGTTCTCAAATACATTACTTGTGTTACATTTTTCATTATTATATGATTAAAATAATATGGATCGTTTTGTTGTCCGAGAACCAAGAGTGGGGGCAGGTAAGAAGCGTTTGTAAAAGTTCAAAAATTTCCATGTTTGAAAACAAAAATGCCAAAATTCATATTACTTCATGACAATATTTTTACAGAATTTCCTCAAGGAAATCATCCTATTCCATTCAGAGTGAGTGGTCCGAGAAATAATGCTAATATGATGTGAGTAATTATTTATTTTTCTGGAATATACAATTTTATTTAGAATATTTGTATTCAGAATGATATTTACCATACAGAAAAATACTTTTAAAACAGAAAATAAAAAAATTGTTTATAGGTTCGAATTCATGATATTGTCTAATTAATATTTAATGTATATATTAAATAGTAGAGTAGCTCGGTGGCGTAGTGGATAAGCGTCGCGGCCCGCGATCGTAGTCGTTAAGCAACTTTCGCAAGGGTCGGTCACGGAACGGGTGACCAAAAAATTATTATCTTGAGCTACTCCGTGCTTCGGAAGGCACGTTAAGCCGTTGGTCCCGGCTGCATTTGCAGTCGTTAATACCCCCCAATCCGCATTGGGCCAGCGTGGAGGGTCATGGCCCATCCTCCTTAACCATCCATAAGGAAGGCCTGAGCCCCTGCAGTGGGGACGTAAATTTATGCAAGTATTTATGAATTCCGTTTTTATTATAGTCCAGAGAATATGATTTATGGAGGATATGGCATGGAATCTCCCTTTTTCGCTGAAGGCTACATGGGAGTTCAGCATCGCATAAATAATGCTGCAGCTTTATCAACTATTAATGTATGTCATATTATTTTTTTTATGTGTCACTGTCTGCTTTTTCTCCTCTAATCTCCGTTTAACTTTAGTTACAAACTTTAATTTAATTATGTGTTTTTTAAATCAAATAATTATTAATTAGTGATGGATCAAAGCATTTAACTAGACACTTGCATATAAATGTAAGGTACACAAAGTCATATAAATTGCACAGATCCCAAATTAAGAAGCAAAAGTACTTGTAAGAAAATCTGGAACAACGGATGTACCACACCATCCAAACTTGTGACAAGAGAAAACTTTATTTTCTGCATTGACTCGCGTCGTGCAAACCATTCGGCCACGGAGGTCATAGTTGTAGTAGATAGCATTAAGGATATTGACTATTTTCTTTCTGTTAACTTTAAAGCCTATTATCTTATCCATTTCTAAAACGTATCTAATATTTTTCTATTGTCGAATAATATTAATATTAGACATATCATTTTAAACAGATATTGCTTAGACAATAAGCATTAAAGAGTGGAGGCTCGTTAATTGACAATTATGAAGAAAATTCACTCAATTTATCGCCGCATTTTATTGATTATGTAAAAAAAAATATATAGTATCAAAAATGCTTCAATAAACTACCTAATGGATAAACAAAGAAAAATAGGTGATCATCCCTACTAGATTAACCTTTAATACATTTTTAAGAAGGTTTTATTTCATCGAACATCTATGCTATGACAGTATGTTCGACGTCGAGTTCCAGGCTGTTTTTATTACAGAATAGCACTGGTGTTGATTCAGTTTTTCTCGTTACTCTGTATCTTGTTAATCAGCTTGATGAATACAAATGGTTTCCGCAGCGTGCCTCCAATCAGGGACAGATTTTGTCCGGCATCGATCCACGTTATCTTGCGACCTACTCGGATAATAGTGCTGCATATATCGTCACCGGTGTGTTGAATATTAATTAAATCATTAAATTCCATTTAATTATAATTCCTACTTTATTATTATCATTTGTGTCCCCTTATTTTGATTCATCATCATCATCATCAGCCCTATTACGTCCCAACTGCAGATGCTGAGCCCTTTCTTATGGATGGTTAAAGAGGGCCATGACCCTCCACGCTGGCTCCATGTGGATTAGAATAAAGTGTCTTCCGAAGCCCGGAGTATATAGCTTGAGATTATATTTTTTTGGTCACCCATCCGGTGATCAACCCTTGTCAAAATTACTTAACGCTTATCCACTTCGCCACCGTGCTACTCAATTTGTTTTGATTACATATTTATTTTTGAGACGACAATATTAATATTAAAATGGAGTGCAATATTCCAACATTCACTCCTTTATTACACATCTCACATTTTCTATCTAATTCACATTATTGTATCTCATCATAACCCTTCGAGTCTTTGAGTTGATTCTTCATTATTTTAAACTAGTTTTTACTCGCAGTTTCGTCTGCGTGGTATAAGTACTTTCAATCGGTGGTTTTGTCTTTATGTAAAAAAACTTTTTTTATATAAAATACATCGTCATAACTACTATGGCGATGAATAAAAATTGCTTTAAAAAAAAAATATATATATATATATATATATATATATATATTTTAAACAATTAGGCTTACTCAAGCTCTATGCGAAAATATAAATTTGT